TCTGGGTTCCCCCCCCCCTGCCCCTGCCGCCTTATCTATTGCTGTCCCTCCTCTAGGTTTAGAACACAGAGAGTGGAGGGAAGACATGTCCCTCCGGGACCAGCCTTCTTCAAGAGAGGATGTCTAAATTCCAACTCCAACTATGGTGTTTTGACGGACCATCTGAGTCCTGAGAAGCAGTCAATCTCAGGAACATAAACTGCAGATCAGCTCCGAGTCATGGGTTCAACAAAGATCTGTACAGGAAACCCGAGTCTGTGGATCTAGATGGCTTTCAAGCCTGCAGGATACAAGAAGATCATGAAAGCCCAAATCTGTGGAAACTGTAGTAGCAGTATATCTACATCGCTACTTTGGCTCATTGTTTTATATAATAATTATTTCTTTAATTTGTTTCACTTTAAAAGAAATGTTCAATCACTTTGTTCTTTTACTGGTGTGTGACTTGATGACTACTAGAATATTGATATCCCCCTTTAGGTGGTTCCTTTCATATCTAGTGTATTATGAAACTCACCTTCGCGATAACCGATACATTTTTCCAGCACACAGTCACCCCCTCCTTTACCTCATTTCCACCCTCTGCCTGATATTTTTTTTAAATCAGTAATATTTTTTTTTCTATTTCCACATTTTTTTCTCATCTTTTTTTCCCTTAATTTTTATTATTGATATATTTCCATGATAGCTTTTCAGTCAATTCCAATTGCATATGTATAAGAAACCATGAGTTCTTGCCATAAACTCAAATTATCTAATCCCAATATCGTTGTAACCTGATGGTTTTAAATTTTATATTTTAAACTTTAACGATTTGATCTAACAGAATTTATAGTTTGAAATATCAAAGGTCTATGACATTGGGTTGCAAAGATATAGGGACAAAAAATCAGAGTTTGTGAGAAGAATTCAGCTCTTTTGAAATCTTACAAAAAATGAAAACATCATAGATTCAGGATTCTTATAAACAGTCTTATACATTTTTAATACAGAGTCAACTTTGAAATGTCACAACGCCTTAGACTTAGATTTTATCGCTCTAACTCAGTTATGTTTCTGTAGCCCTTTAAATGTACATTTTTGCTTTAAAAAGCACTTGTTGTTAGCTTTTTTTTGCTTGAGAGCGTGAGACCTTTAAATCACAGTAATGCGTTTATAAAAACCAACTCATGAGATGTCTAGCCTTGGTAATTTTGATTTGGATGAAAAGTAAATTAAAAAAGATTGTTTACCCTTTTGTTTGCATCGAACTGGTTTTCTCCCAGGGATCTGGGAACATCATTATTCATGGTCTCACTGTTCTCATTCAGTATCTTGTAGAAATACTTTACCCCAGAACCATTCTCACCATTCTCAAGTTTATCCTCAGGAGTACTGGAAGAAGCTCCCGCAACTTCAGGTTCAAAGCTATCTTCAGAACTAAAGCCTGGAGTTTTAATCAACATACTTGAATCACACACTTCAGGAAAAATGTTAAAAAGACTATAAAAGGGAAAATTATATTTTTGATTAAAGAGTTCAAGACTTTTGTATGAGACGATTGCATATCTACAATATATACAACGAAAACCATTATATGCAAATCTGCATATTTTCGTGATCTCTCATTGGCCGAACGCACATATTCATATCTTCTGATTGGTCAGACCTTTCAGTTATATACGAATGGAAATACTTTAATCCGCGGACTTAGGCTCCAACCTAAATGAATGCGTTACCTAACACTTGTTAAACATGTCTTATATGAAAATCGAAATTCCGATACTAAGGAAAGAAAAATAATAACAATGCAATTGAAGTGTTTCCTCAAGATTTTTAAGCTACACATTTAATAGTTAAATCTTCAAAAATTTAAAAGTACGTTTGCCTGAATTATCCATGTCTTAACTGATTAAACGATGATCTGGAGGATCTGAAAAAAACTGTGTCAAAAGAGGAAATATGGATATTTTAACGATCACGTGTGCATGAAATCATATGTTAAATTCAGGGGCGGATTCATTCAGTAAAAATATGTCTTATTTTGTTAACAATGCTAAAAACCAACTTTTATTTGGTTTTAAACTTACTGCTTTAATGTACTGTGTTTGTGATGTCTTTCAATCAATACAACATTCTTTAATGTAATTTAAACATCCTTATGAAATCGTACTTCAAACTTGAAGTTTAACCCGGGGGAGTAAAAAGCATTTTTTCAAACCCCTCCAGTGAAAAAGAATTCCCTCCGGTGGTCTCCAGTGGAGTCAAAATCTTACTACGAACTTCCGTGACTCCGAAATTAAATTAAAAAATTGCTGCTTCAATTTTGCCTGAATGCTAAAACGACGTGTTAATTTTCTAAAAATTTAATTTGAAAATAACGCGTTTATTAAGCCACCATTACCCTTATATTTTTGTACTTTTCAAGATATAATTTGATTTTTATTGCATTTTTGGTCTAGGGGAAAAATCTTCATGTGGCTTTTTCATTTGTTAAGGAACATATTTTTTTGAATCATTAAAATCCTTAACAGGTGTTTTTTTGAGATCCTGTACAAAGTTCTATTCAAAATTTAAATGGGATAAAGAAGAAATTGAGTCTTTGGAACAAAATCAAATATTTAAACCTCAATATCTTTAGAACTCGATGTTGTAAACCTTTGATATTTCAAACTCAGATTATTTGATCTAACAGAATTCATAGTTTGAAATTTCTAAGGTTTTCAACATTTGGTTCCAAAGATATAGTGATTAGAAAATCAGAGTTTGTGACAAAGACTCAATTCCTTTAAAACTTAAGTGTTTTAGGAGTTTACAATTTTTTATTTAGAAAAGTATAATATTGAGTCAATAAGGTAAAAACAAAATACAAGGCGTTACGACACTTGAAAGTTAACCCAGTCCAAAAATTGATGAAACTTTCTCATAGCAGTCTGGAGATATTTCATATGTCATATGCGTTATAATTAAGACCCAAAAGTTATTTACAGTTAAACCTTAAATAAGCCATACATCGAAAGAATTCATCAAATGTCGTATTCTTCACTTTTTGATAATGGAATGTTGCAGATATTTAGTTTTTTTAATTAAATGATTATATGGAGCTCTTAAAACTGTTACCGCATATTTATGGCTAATTATTTATTTTAATCGCAAATACTGAGATTTACGGAAAAAAGTATAAAACCCATTGAAACATTTGATAATTTCTTTCGATGTATGGTCCAGAGAAAATAAAGAAGTTTATCGAAAAACACTTTTATGTTAGAAAAACGAGTTTATTTTCCACATTGCTAAACTAATATCGGAGAACACTTTTATGTTAGAAAAACGAGTTTATTTTCCACATTGCTAAACTAATATCGGAGAACACAGTTATGTTAGAAAAACGAGTTTATTTTCCACATCCGGCTAAACTAATATCGAAGAACACTTTCATGCTAGAAAGACAAGTAAGTTTATTTTCAACATTGCTAAACTAATATAGGAAAACTTTTATGTTAGAAAAACGAGTTTATTTTCAACATTGCTAAACAAATAAGGCGTGAAATTTCAAATGTTCGTTTAACAAAATTTGCTGTAGCACCGCAGCCAAATTATTCTTCAATGGAATTGAGTCTTTGTCACAAACTCTGATTTTCTAATCCCTCTATCTTTAAAACTCAATGTCGTAGACCTTGTATTTCAAACTGTGAATTTTGCTGTGAGGTTTATAGGGTACCCGGTTTAATGGAGGATAATTCAACAGTTCTTTTAGGAAATATAAAGACGACATTTAAAATCTAGTGAGAGTTTAAGGTATATATACGGGAGGGGCAGCCCGGTGTAGATCTGAATTGCATAATTCCGAAGGACAGAAGACCTTGAGAAGCACTGGCGGGCTGGTTGGATCCTATCTATCTATCTTCAGCTAGTGCGCCTAGTTCCATCCTGACCATCCGACCGTAGAGATCTCTAGCACAGATATATGGAAACATACCGCTTCCAGATTCAACAGAAATACCTTTTATACACTTCTTAGGAGTACATTTAGTAAACAAGGTGAATATTATTAAAACTTTGTTAAACCATTCAGTTATAAGTTAGATAAGATACAAATGAATATTACGTATAAAGTACAAATTATAGTTTAGAATTATCATCAGTGTTTTCTGTTTCGACCATATGTTATCTGTCATTGAGCTATTTTTAGTAAACTTCTGACAACTTTCCCTTCTCAGAACTTTTTTTAAAGATTTTTCCGTTTTTACAACTTATTATTTGATAGTTTAAGGCGTAAGTCTATAAATCAATTTTAAAACTAAACATTTCTGAAAAGTGAAAACAGAAGACCATCATGGTTTAAAAATTCAAATTGAAAAAATTAAGAGAGTATTGCCTTATTTGTTCCCCTTCACTTCTTAAATATTATTTTATATATCAGTAAAATATTTGAATTTATATCGGTGTCATTAAAATTTAAAAGGAAAATAAAAGCTAAAAAATTAACTTTTATTGATAATCGTTAAGATCTAAATTTCTATACATCATTCATCTAATCTTCATCATCGTCATCATCTTCATCGTTTTCATCATCTTCATCATTTTCATCATCTTCATCATTTTCATCATCTTCATCGTTGATTGAATATTTTAAAGCTGTAGTTTAAAGGAGTTTTTTTCTTAAAAGAATAAAAAATTCTTTTTTAATACCTTTATTACATTTTTTGTATTTTTTTTTTCAAAAATCGGACCATATTTTACCTTAGCTTTTCTGTTGGCTATAGTTGCTTTTAAACGCTAGATTTTGAAAGTAATTGTGCAGGGGGGGGGTCATTTAGGAAATATTTAGAATAACTAAATACAAGGATGTATTATATTCACTCTCTGTACAACGTGTATTTATGTACAGTGTACAATTTTACATTTATGTACAGTGTACAATTACATTTACATGTACAGTGTACAGTTACATTTATGTACAGTGTACAATTGTATTATGTACAGCGTACAATTACGTTGTGTACAGTCTACAATTCCGTACATTTAAAATATAAACAGTATACAATAGAGGTGTTTGTAAAGTGTACGATGTAAAAATATGCATAGTGTACATCTATGTACAGTATACAATAAACATCTTTGTACAGTGTACATTTATATACGTTGTACATTCATTTGTACTAAATTCCAAAATGTACAATACTCTCTGAACTTTAAACAATAACCTTGAACATTGAACCACACAGGGGACACGCTCTATCCATCTATCTATATATCTATCTGTCTGTCTGTCAGTCTGTCTGTCTGTCTTTCAATCCACTATCCAATCATTCTAATTTCTAACTACTTTTAAGTATACTTTTGTTGAAATATTGATAGTTTTTCGTTTGAAAATTAAATATTTTTTTTGACCTAATCTCAAACTTAAGAAGGAAATATAAATTTTTTCTTTGTTCTCTTTCTTATTCTTTGTCTCAGGAATGATTGCATAAAAGTAGATGTTGTTTAATTCAGGCTGACTTAACGAATCTATGTAAGAAAGTCCCGGGAAAAAAAGTTTCTGGAAAAAAAACCTGGACAAAAAAACTTTGGAAAAAAGTCCGAATTTTCTCAAGTCTTTGGAAAAAATGTCACTGGAAATAAAGTCCTGTGTTTTGGATTCCTGGGAATTTTTTTGTTGTTAAACGCGAATAAATCCAAATAGAAAAAAATCTCATCTATAGCCGCATGGTAAGTTCAGAGCCCGCGATTTAAAAAAAAACTCGGGAAAATACTGCACGGGTCTAAGCTGTCGTTGGACCTTATTTACGACTTGAGCTTTCTGATTCAAGCTGCATCTTATTTTCCATAGAGTTGAGTTCAAAAAACCGGTTTAATATTCTATTTGGCGAATTTTCATGGAAGGAATTGGCGCATTCCGGTTTTTTATGAGAACAAGACGCCACATTTTACTTATTCTCTGCTAAAACCAAAAAAGTTCGGTTATATTTTCATTGGGCCTAACTCCTTAAGTCAAGCCGAAGATCTTGCAGCTGTCAATTTAAGTGACACAAGCTGTCGTTAGAGTTGGGTCTTAAAGTCGGGTTTAAGGAATTACGGCTGGAGCCGGAGGTTTTAAATGGCGGGCTCAGATCGAATTATACAACTGAACAAATTGAACTGTACTGCAATAAAATGCATTATTTTACAGAGAATAAAATCCAATGTAAAACTGCACTTTCTGTTTCTGCATATCATCTATTGATCGTAAACCTTGCAAAGCTGTTTTTTAGAATTCTTTCTCCGAAAAACAATATTTTTTAAAACTATTCCACAGAGAGTTTAAATAAACATTGTAATGTGATTCTTTTAGGCAGGAATTTCTGTGTTTGATGTTCAATGGACTATATATATATATATATATATATCCAAAATCATAATCTGAGTCTAAGAGTCGTTTTCTTTGACCATAATTTTGCGCGTATCTGCTCTAAAAGTATGCTTTTATCACTTTTTTGTATTAAATGAAAACCCAAGAAGCTATGAGGTTGCAAGTTACGAGTAAAAAAAGAGTTTTTCTTACTTTCTTAATTAAGAGATTTATCAATTATTTACTTGAAAAATAAAACTTCATATTTTTTAACTTTTTGGAAAATAAATTAAAAAGCAAACTTGTTTTTAGGAACTTGCACAATGTGACAGTCGTAGAAAATTGTTCATATACTATGGTAAAGTTAGATTACGCAACATTTTTACTTTACTATGTTTGCATTTTTATGGTCAAAAGTTAACGCTTTTGTAAGATCCCTTCTTGACCTTTTTTGCTCGTGAATCCCCAAATTTTACCTTTATGATTTTAAAGACCTAATCTCCCCCCCCCCCTGAATTGCCTATACAAGATCAGCTGAGACTGAGAGTAGGATTGGCTCCCTATTCAACTCAGCTGCTAAGCTTCAGTTGAGCCAGGCATGTTCGTCTGAATACAACCTTATTGCCTGTGCGTAGTGTGCTAGCTAACAAAGAAACATAAAACAAAACAATTAAGACAAATAGAATAAGTTAAATAATTATTGACAAAGTTATCAGCAGTGTGATCGTTAAGTACAGGTAGATTTTTATATATTTAGATTCTATTGGGAAATGGGGATCCCACCATGGCTGTCTAACAACAACCAGTGTAAACTAGATTATAAACCGTATTATGAACTTTACATTTTTTCTCTGAAGAAATCAAAAATAAACTGTACTATTTTGAATGAATTGACGTCATATCTTTTAGTTTTCCTTTATTTTTAAAGATATCAATAGTTTGACGTAAGCATTAAGCACCGGGGGGGGGGGGGTTACTTCTGTGAACATTATAAATTAGATTTTAACAAGTTTTATGACAATTGAAAACATCGAAATGATATTTGATATAAAGTTTGTGCGTTTTTATTTTATCTTGGTTGTTCAAAATTAAAATACCATGGTGAAAGTCGGATCTTATACAGAGATCTAACAAATGTACTTTGTATTGTGAAATTTATCAAATTAATATAAATTCCATTTTTCATTAAACTTAAAACTAGGATTTAATGTATGCGTTTTTTCTCCTGTTTTAGAATTTCTTTCAGTGAGCTTTTCTTTTTATTTCCTCAAATTCTATTTGAGAATTTTTAACCCAGTGCAAGATTTTAATTTACTTGTCTTTAAATTCAAAGTTTTTATTCTCTTTGGTTTTTATCCTCTTTATTTTTTCATTTGGTTTAAATTTGTCCCCCCTCCCCCCCCCCGGTTGGTTTTGTTTGTTTTCTTATTTTTTAACTAGAATTCCTTGAATTTCATTTTAATTTCTCGGTTGTTATTTTTAAGTTTCTTTTATTTTTAGTTCTTCATTTTTAAAAATCTGATTCGTTAGAAACTGTTTTTGTCGTAGTATGGAACTTCCTTTGTTTATGGTCTGTTGTACACACAGTGGGCATACACTGTTGTACACACAGTGGACATACACTGTTGTACACACAGTGGACATACACTGTTGTTCAGGGGGAAAGTGAATCTAGGTGAAAGTAGGAGAAGATTATGTGGATAGATAGATAGATAGAATTATATAGGTTATGGGAAAACTCGACAAACACACACCGACCAAACACACAAATACAAACACATCGTTTAGTGCGTATACTATGTCACACAAGCGCAGAACCTTCAGGGTGTCCCACGAAACATGACAGTTGGTGAAAAGTTTTCCATGTCTTCTTCCATATACTGTATTAGATATGAAAGACTTCTTGCAGTTAAACTAGTTTAAAAAATCTTATTTTACTTTAAAATCAATTATCCTCTACAGTCTACATGACTGCAATATAATATTTTTATTATTATTGTTTGGCATCAAACCACTTAACTAATCACGGAAGAAGACATAATAAATTATTCACCAACTGTCAATTGTCATGTTTCGTGGGACACCCTGTATCTCTTAGACATAAACAGTAAACACACAATATATACACACACTGTCTCTATTAAAACACACCTCTATAAAACACAAAATATTAACACACCACACCGGACTAACCAGAGTGAGCAGCATTCGGTTTCTTCTATTTGAAATCAAACGTGTTTTGGTCTTTAATTCAATAATCATTTACTTTACGGATTTGTTTATTATACATTTTCATTAAAAATGGATATGCCAACAAAAAAGTATTTAATAGAAAAGGCTAACAAATTATGTTTAATGGGTCAAATTGTGATCAAAAGTCACAGCTTTCTGGAATATCGACAGAACTGTTAAATCCACGTGACACACCATGTGCGAATTGTGAACGCAGAAAGTCCGTTCTAAACACACAGTAAATAAAGTAAATGTGAGCGGTCTCTCTAATTTAATTGCAGCGCCCTCTATTTTCTTTTCAAATTTATCTTTTTTTTTTCCTCGGGATCTTTTTTCCTTTTCTTTCTTTAGTCCCTACCCCTGTTTACTTTTCCCCATCTTTTCTTTCCTCTTTTCCTTCCCTTATTTGCTCTCTATTATTTTCTTTCCTACTTCTACTTCTACTTCTACTTCTACTTCTACTCATACTTCTACTCCTACTTCTATTCATACTTCTATTCATACTTCTACTTCTACTTCTACTTATACTAATACTTCTACTTCTACTTATACTTTTACTTCTACTTCTACTCCTATTTCTACTCCTACTTCTACTTCTACTTCCACTTCTACTTCTATTTCTACTTCTACTCATACTTTTACTCCTGCTTCTATTCATACTTCTACTTCTACGTATACTTATACTAATACTTCTACTTCTTCTTCTTCTTCTTCTTCTTCTTCTTCTTCTACTTCTACTTCCACTTCTACGCCTATTTCTACTCCTACTTCTACTTCTACTTCTACTTCTACGCATACTTCTACTCATACTTCTATTCATACTTCTACTTCTACTTCTATTTATGCTAATACTTCTACTTCTACTTCTACTCCTATTTCTACTCCTACTTCTACTTCTATTTCTACTTCTACTTCTACTTCTACTTCTACTTCTACTTCTACTTCTACTTCTACTTCTACTTCTACTTCTACTCATACTTCTACTAATACTTCTATTCATACTTCTACCTCTGCTTCTACTTCTACTAATACTTCTACTTCTACTTCTACTTCTTCTACTTCTACTTCTACTTCTACTCCTATTTCTACTCCTACTCCTACTCCTACTCCTACTCCTAGTCCTACTCCTACTCCTACCCGTTATGTACATAGGGGTTGATGTCCTATTTTATTTCCTTATTCTCTAGCTATACACCATCAGAGTTTCAAGGCTATAGGCCTATACAGTATACAGGACTGTAACCTTGAACACAGACAGTTATACAGCATAGACAGATAGACAGATAAATAGATAGATAGATATTTAACTGATTTAAAGGTTACCCTTCTACATACATTCCAATGGTTGTTTTCAATGATTAAAGATTACTTTTTTAATATGAAAGTTATGATTGTGAGAATAAGAAGCTAACAGTTGTTGCAAACTTTTTACAATAATAATCATAATATCCAATGAACTTTTAACATATACATCGTAAAACAAAACAAAAATAATTCGCGGATTTTCACAAAAAATTTCGGGGATTTTCAAAATTTTCAAAAATTTAATGAAGATCGAATTTTGATGGAGACAAATATTTGAAATTTTGATCATCCATAAACCTTCCCTGGGGCTCCGTGAGGTCCCACAAAAAATTTGGACCCGATCGGTTCAGCCGTTTTGACGTTTATTGCATACAAACAAACAAACACCCAAACAGACAAACAGACAGACAAGCCAAATTTATATATAGATAATTCTATATTATAAATATTTTTGACGTTTTTGTATTTAGGCGTTTTTACAAAAAAGATTATTAATTATCTTTATTATTTTCATTTCAGAATCAGCGATATAAGAGAGCAAAGAGTTCTAAATAAACCTGAAATCTGATTTGCTCGGCAAGATGGGTAAATCCGTGCTCCACGCCGTCGCCCGCGGCATCGGGAAGAGCAGCGAGCGGAAGCGAATGGTCAAGCTCTGCATCAGAAAGCTTCAAAATATCGACGATCCTGAAACATTCCTTTGTCGCTCAGTCCTCATCAATAATACGCTAAAGAACCTTCAGATTATCCAGAAAGAGGCGAAGCTACGAAAAATGCGGGAATCTCTTGAAGCAAATCCACTACTTGAAGCAAATCCACTACTTGAAACCGAGGGCAATCTTAAATCAATTGATCAAGCTGAATCTGAATATTCTACAGAAGAAATATTAAATGATATTGATATGCCTGCTCCCCTTTCTCCAACCTTAGAGGATATTGTTCCAGACACGTTCCCTTCAAACATTAATATTGTTCATGATCCACTTCACCTCACTCCAGTACTTGCCCCGATCCATAGTGACAGTTCCAACGGTTGGATCGACCGAGAGGATTGGGAGCAGGAGCAGGGCTCCTGGGATAAATGGGAGCACCATGACTCTATTCTATGGGAGCGTGGGAGCAAGGAGCTTACCGCAACCTTGGATCTTACACTACTGAAGAAAACGGGATCAGAAGAGGAGGGATCGGACAGCTCCGGATCCCTTTCCGGAGAGGAAGGGTCCACGGAGGATGGATGCAGTAGTGAAGGAGAAATGTATGATCGTGAAATCTCCTGTGGACATTCTTACATCTCGGAGAAATCCGTCCCAACCCTCAGTGTAATAAACTCTTTGATTGCTTCTCTAGAAAGCTGATAAAACATTTGTGACATTTATTCGGTATTAAAAACAACTTTTTCCATAAAATGAAAGACCATCTTTATCAACACTTAAAAAAATTTCTTAAAAATTGATGGCTTTTGGCATTTATATTTTCCCCTTGGGGAAGGGGCCTCCCTTTTGGATAAGGAAATCAACTTCAGTGATACAATTAGGGCAACCGGCCAATTTGTTTAATGCATCATTATTGAAAAGTGAAAACCTGTGTTAAATACTGTTAAGTGAAAACTAAGAGCTATGACTGCAAAGCTTGAGAATAGTCATATTTCTTGATGTAATTTAAAACTTTTTGCAATTTTGCAAATATGTAGTTTTTTTGTTGGATTATAATCGGTTACCAAGAATTCGACCCAGCGCAACACTGAAAAATTTCATAAAAATCTTAAAATCCGTTCTTTGCTTTGTGCTCTATTGTAAACCTGATTAAAAGCACACAAAGTTTCAAAGATATACATTCGAAACGATGGACAGTTCTGGTATTGTGAACATTTTGTAAAATCATTAGAAAATTTTGTATTAGGCCAAGCATTTTCTGTTTTTCAGTAAAAGCAGTTTAAAAAGTATTTATTTCATAAAAAAGTATTTATTAGTTTTTGTAATTTTAGAAATACTCAATTTCCGAACTAAAAATAGAAGGAAATAAAAACTCATGCATTCTGAGTCATTTCTGCAATATCTCGTACATCTAGTCAGTACTAGCAAAGGTATTGCAATATTTTTGGAAAATTTGTAAATAATGATATCGCCAAATAATGTTGTTTCCTCATATATTTGAAAATTATTAAATGAATTAGATTGAGTTTTAATTGAGCTTTTGTTCTAAATTTGTGATTTATATTTATTGAATTATTCCAATTTTATAATTTTTTAAGTTTTGAAATCTGTTTATTTTTTTTACTAAATTACTGAAAATAAATTGTATCTATTTTTTTTAATGATTTAAGAAAATAAGTAGAGTGTTAAAATGAACAATTTTAGATTGTATGCATAAGAAAAAGATGCAGGGCGAGTAATTTTTTTCCTTTGTAGTTCTTATTAGTGAATTGTCAAAAAAACAAACACGTAAAATCAAATTATTAATCAGTGAATCCAAATAAGGAAAAGAAACAAGAGATGACTTGAAGTAAGTGATGTGCCTTTATTTTGGTTGTTTTTTCTTTTTCTTTCTTTTAGGGTATAAACAATTTGGCATAAAGTAAGTCAAGAATGCTTTCTAAATTTCTTATTTTAAACATTTGCTATTCTTACACTAAGTCAAATTTTGACCCAATATATACCAAAAACGACCCAAAAATAATGCAAAAACGAACATTTTGTAACGATCGTTTTACCATTTTTTTTCTTTATGATAAAGATAGTGCAAAGTTCATTAACCCTATCCCTGCTGGGGTACTTGAAAACCAGGATATGCTGAGGGGGGTGGGGGTCAATTTGACCCCCCCCCCCTCTAAATCCCATGTTTTATGTCCAAATATGACAAATGATACATCATTAGAAAGCTCTTGTGCTCTACTTTTTGAATCTGAAAAAAAATTTGCAAATTTGCAAAAATTGATTTTTTATCGCAAAATCCAGTTATATAGTATAAATGTTTGCAAAAAAAAAGTTGTCCAAAATTTTAAATAACCTGATTTTTAATCAAAAAAAACTAAAAATGTGCAAATTTCCTTTAACAGGTTGTTTGCAAAAAATTTGCAATTTTTTTTTCTCAAAACTTGTGCAATCCGTTTCCTTATGTCATAGGCTTTCTAAAAAGCTAAATTTTATTAAAATCTGACAAGTGAAAGTGGGTCAAAACAAAGATTTAGTTGGTTACAGGCAAAAGCAGTCATTCAGGCAGTGTGCCTGAGGACTCAGGCAGTTAGTATTAAAGCCCAGTTTTAGGCCTAATGGGAGGGCTTTGGGTATGTAAGAAAAGTCAGAAATTTCAACAGCCTCAGACCAATACTTTTTGAGTTATGTAAAAAAAACTACAGGGGGGGGGTCAAAATTACCCCCCCCCCCCAGCAGGAATAGGGTTAAAAGCCAACTTTATCATAATACAGTTTTGAAATCTTGAAAGTTTTTTGAATTTTTCTACAAAATACATTTTATTCATTTCGAAGAGGAGAAGGTCAAATTACATTGAAATGACTGGTACAACTTTGTGACCTTGTTGCTCCTCTCTAGTTCTGATTATAAGTATGAGAGAGACAGGATACATATTTTTCTCTCAATAGCTCTTCAATCAGAGGAGGTATAATACAGTTAAACCCTAAATAAACCATACAACGAAGGAATTTATTAAATGTCGTATTCCTCACTTTCTGATAATGGAATGTTGCAGATATTTAGTTTTTTAATTAAATGATTATATGGAGCTCTTAAAATCTGTTCCCGCAAATTCATGGCTATTTATTAATTTTCCCAAATACTGAGATTTACGTAAAATAGTATAAAACCCAAGGGTGTAATGCAAGGAAAGTTAATTGCGGTGGTGTATACTCTGCGTCTCTTTGGGCGGAATTTGTAAGCAAGAATAGATGCATCAGTGTTCGTTTAGTATCCGAGGAGGTTTAAAGCATTTAATTTTGATAATTTTGATAATTTACGTAAAAGTTTCCTATGACCAGAATATTTCATTGATTTTCTTTATGTGAAAGATGGATCCCATGTCAGGCTTCGACATCCGTCTTGTGTTTACATTTCCGCCCAGAGACAGTACAATGCAGTACAAAAGATGTTTACACTTCTGAAATAACTTTCCTTGCATTACATCCTTGATAAGACCCATTGAAAAATTGCCAAGACGACATTTGATAAATTCTTTCGATGTATGGCTCCTCTAGGGTTTAGCTGTAAAAAACATTTAAAATTTCAATCTTAATTTACTTCAGTTTGACATGATGTACGTCAAATATACCTTAAAAGAATTGACAGAGATATTGCAAATAAAAAAATCACTTTAACATTTAACTTTTATTACATTAGTAATTAGTTAGATAAGACAAGTATCTATATGAACTTTAAAGGTAAAGTTTAATTTAAATATTTTTTTTATTTAATTGTAAATCTTTTTCTCCATTAAATGCCAGAAGCTGAAAATTGAGAGTATTGTTTCACCATGGTTAAATTTCTATCTTACAGGGTGTCCCAATAAACATAATTTGTAGGTCGGATAGTCATCGATTGTAAGTCGGATGTACGCATTTAGTAGGTTGGATGGTCATGCAATTGTAGGTCGAATGTACACATTTGTAGGTTGGATGGTCAATTGTAGATCGGATGTACACATTTAGTAGGTCGGTTGGTCTCTATTTGTAGGTCGGATTGTCATAAATTGTAGGTCAAACGGTCACACTTTGTAGGTACTATGGTCATCGATTGTAGGTCACTATTTGTAGGTTGGATGGTTAAAGAATTTATACCAGATTGAAAGACGACATTAAAGAACTTCACACACCCCTTCGAATTTAAATATTGTTGTAAGTACAGGGTGTCCCAATAATCAAACATGGGAATTCAGTGATGAATTCGATATCGTCGTTCCAAATAGTTCTTTGATTTAGTATAGTGCGATACCTTCTGAGAAAGCTGTAATCTGTAAGAGTTTCGTCTGCTATGTTCACATTTTGTTTGTTTATGTTTCGCATGCATACGGTTGTACTTAGTTAAACAAGAAAATTGCAGTATAAACAAACAGAGTAAACTTGTCCGTCGACTTCACGGTTCATCTTGCGGAGACATTATAGACACATCTTTACAGTCTTTAACCCATTTCATAAAATTAACTCTAGCAGACATAATATTATAGCTTTTGAAATTAGGTATTACAATGCTAATTCATAACAAAGACGATATCCAATTCGTCACTGAATTCCCATGTTTTTGGGACACCCTGTAGTTAAAAAAGATCCATCGTATTTATTAATTCTATATAGAATAACATCTGATTTAACCATGGTTAAAACGTCTTATGTTTCAGCGTCGTATTACCGTCGACGCAGATTGAGACTAAAAAACGACTTTAAATCTTTGCATCCTACAGCCTACAGAGTACAGGGGTTTCCAATAATCATGGGAATTTAGTTACATTCTAGGGGACATTAATTCAATAAATTTAAGAAGTATATCAGTCAGATCCCATCCCATTTATTCACCTTCAAAATTGAGGGATAATATTAATAAATTTGTCTAGACTCAAGTTTATTTTATATCAATTATAATATCTGTTCAAATGATTAATATTTTTATTAATATTAAAGAAGCAGAGAAAGACTTTTTTCATGCAGCGCTTTTTGTATACTTATTTGCTGTTAGAAATCAATGACGATACTCGATCGTCTCTTAATTCACATGTTTATTGGGACACTCTGTATAATCTGAAGAAGCTTCAAGTAAAAATTTATCAGTTCACATTTAATGCTAAAATAAGACTGACTAAATTTGTATAATTGACTTTAAGAAGTTGTACAACTGTTTTCTTGCATGTTATGATAAACACCTCTGAGAAGACGACATTCTGTAGCAGACTTTATCAAAAAATCAACCTAATAAAATAGAAAAAAGCACTGAAAGAGTGTCCCAATAAACAAGGGTATTGAGGGACGACTCGAAATTTGTCTTTGATTTCAGATAATTGAAAAATGACATAAAGTGCATTTTGGCTACGCTCAATAATACACGTCAAGGTTTAAGGAAATACTTTATTAACTAATATTTTAAACCTAATTTATCTTAATCGAAAACATATATCAAGGTGACGTGGCAGGAATAGAATGTTCATCTTGCCGCGTCCGAATATCCGGCTTCAGCCTCTTCATCTTGAGTCGTCTTCCGCCACAGCATCAAAAAAGATTGAACGTCTACTGAGCTGTCGGAAATGTGGTCTACCTTCTTGGTATTTTTAAAACTGTATAAGTGTCAGCTTAGTTTTTGTGTCTGAAAAAATTATTAATAACAGTGATAATTTTGGAATAAAGTACTTATTTTACGGTAAGAAAAAGTGCAATTTTGTGTTTTCGTTTTTTTGGGTTTTTACAGTTTTTTATTTAATCTTGATAAACATGTCAACTTTAATGTAAGAACATTTCTTTTTCCTTGTTGTATTTGACTCTTGTGATGTCTCGTATAATTTGTCCATTTCTCTGTTGCCATCTATTGTACTTGATAGATCTATTTGATATTACTTATTCATTTTTGATAGATATAATTGATAATATAATTATTATGTCTGTTTCATGCGACCAGAATTTCCACCAATGGCAGTGCAGTATCACTTGGCTCTGTCTATATCACGTCACCATTTATAAACAAAGATCTTAACCCCTAAGATTTTTTCTGATGGGGATTTTTGAATTTCAAGGTGTACGCATTAACTCAAAACTATGATAACATGGACAGAAACTTAAAAATAACTCTTGTTTTCAAGTGCTTGGACGGACCTTAGAAATAAGTCAATATTTTGCATATTATCATTATTTAGACATTTATTCATTTTCGAAAGTATGCTCAAACTATAAACATGGACAGAAACTTAAAAAAAACTCTTGTTTTCAAGTGCTTGGACGGACCTTAGAAATAAGTCAATAAGTACATGGTAAGAACTAAGAAATGAGGCCACTTTGAGAAATCATTAAAAATGTAAACTGTAATGTGATCCAATTATGTATTTATCATTATTCAGACATTTATTTATTTTCTCTGAAATATATGTCCACGAAATTTGTCAGTAGGAAGACGACTTGAAGGTCTTTTGTTATCTTTAAAATGATTTATAATTTGCGAGATTGCTCATTTATAAACCTCATCTAAGAAGTAAAATGCTTGAGTTAATAATCACAAAACTCCCTTAATCCGGGCATGCCCAAACTGTGGTCTGCCTTTATTGTGCTGTCCATGCACCCCTGACCCTTCAGTAAAAGTAAATTCAACCTGAAGTCTGACCGCGTCAACCTTGTTGTACCGGCTAGTCCTATTGAGCGTCTGCTTTTTTTATCCAATGTCCGGGCGATACAGTACAAACTGGGACCGGAAAGGTTGACCCGGCTCGGAAATTCAAATGTACTACGGCTGCCCGTGTGTCAAGTGTCAATATTACCGGAAATGTTAAGAATTTCGTTCATATTTTAGTCTATTAAAAAAATTGTCTAAATCTAACAAAATTTCTTCTCATATCTCCAGTAATATTTAAAGCACATAAAAGGCATTTGTACAAGAAAAGTGTCAAAGTTAAAATGTAAATCAATAGTTCAACAGTAATTGTCGGCCTTCTTCATCTATTTTTTAAAAATAAAACCACCTCAGGCTTATTTTGACAAATGTGACTTTAAAAGCAGTATCTAATTGTACAAGAAAAGTGTCAAAGTTAAAATATAAATCAATAGTTTTACAGAAATTATCGGCATTCTTCATCTATTTTCTAATAATAAAACCACATTTTGGAAATGCCAGGGCCCGGGACTAGAAGAGTTTTGTGATTATTGTTTCAATTATACATGTAAATTAGAGGTAATATGTTACATCGTCTATACGCAACATCCCCCCTACTGAACTTCCGACCTACTAACTTTCCGACTACTGCAATATCGGACCTACGCCAGCTGTTTTATTTTTGTATTATTTGAGGGTTAGGTTAGGTTAGGAAAATTTCAGGGCCGATCACTGCGGCTTGGACAGGCTAGGGGTCCTGGCGCTGGTCCACAAGTCCATTTAGCAGCTGTAAAACAACGTGCTAGTAGGTCGGATGTGTAGTATAGCGGATTTGGCGTAGGTCTGAAGTGAAGTATAGCGAATTTGCGAATGTCTTGTTTTATTTATAGATTATTTCTAAACCGTACAGCATGCCACAGCTCACTGCAAATTACGACTGAAAGATTTTGTAAAATTTATGCGATAACACCGGTACTACTTTGTCACCTCGACATTGTTGTTTTTCTCAATAGCTTTTCAAGAGTTCTGATTGAAAATATGTGAGATTTCAATATTATGTTCAATTTACTTTTGTATGACTTGAGCTGCCTACCAACTACAATATCTAGGAATTTACTTTAGTATGACTTGAGCTGCCTACCAACTACAATATCTTGGAATTTACTTTTGTATGACTAGAGCTGCCTACCAACTGCAATATCTTGGAATTTACTTTAGTATGACTAGAGCTGCCTACCAACTACAATATCTTGGAATTTATTTTAGTATGACTAGAGCTGCCTGCCAACTACAATATCTTGGAATTTACTTCAGTATGACTAGAGCTGCCTACCAACTATAACAATATCTTTAAATTTACTTTAGTATGAATTGAGCTGCCTACCAACTACAATATCTTGAATGCAATTTTATTCCTGAATTCCGAAACTTATTTTTATTTCAACAATAACAAATAACAATGAGATTAAATTCAAAACAATCTATTTTCCAAAGCTAAGATGCTGGTTCCCCAAGGGGCTAGGGATTGGGGGCGAATGAAAAGGTCCAAGGGCGGGTGGCAACACCCCTCTATGTATATTGCTGGAAACATCATTAATAGAGAAATTCTCACGCCCAGAAAAGAAATCCGTGAATCGCCTAAAATGATAAAAGTAAATATTTTAGCAGATTTACAATAATCTCTGAAAAGTTCAGAATTAAGAAGGTTGAACAATTATTTGTAGTGGAGAAACCGAGTTTAATTCGTTTAAACCGATATATTTTACTTAAAAATTGCAAACCTTTATTAATGTATGGCTAATTTATTTGCTATTTTAATGCTAATGGAAGAAAAACTACAAAGCTTGTAATGCGCCAAAATCCTGAAAAGGAATACAACTAATAGATACCATACAAACAATGCATGTACCATACTTTCAATGTATGTACCATACTGACAATGTTATATACCGAACTACAATACGATGTGATGTACCGTATTGACATTAATATATACGGAGTTCTACAATGATATATGTACCTTACTGAAAGGTTTTGAGTCGTACTAACAATGACATTTATCGTACTAAACAGTTATGCACCATACCACAATGTTATGTACCGTGCATGCTGACAATGTTATGTACAGCACATAAAATCATACGCAGCGTACTACAATGTTATTACCCTTCTGATAATGTTATGTACCGTACTGACAATGTTATGTACCGCACTGACAACGTTATGTACCGTACTGAAAATGTTGTGTACCCCACTAGAATGTTATGTACCAATGCTATGTACCAAACTGACCTGTCTACGTACCCAGGTGCAGGTGCATCGTCATAGAACGGTCTATGCGCTGGAACTAATGGAAGTTTTTCCTAAAATATAATTTGTAAAAAAACTGAATGAATGTTTAATTTTCTTGTTATTTTACAAAAGTATTAACTTAATTATTAATTATTAATTATTTAACTTATTTTTAACCTGAAATTTATTATGAACATGCTCCACTAGATCTTGATTGACGTCATTTTTCCTAAAAAAAGAAAAAAATTCGAAAATTCGGAAAATTACAATTTTGTTCTTTTTCTAAACATGAAACTAAAACATGCAATTGAAGTGTTACTGGAGGAACTATTTTGAAATATTTGTGAAATTATTGTGAAAACTTGATAACTTTGATTTTACCGTTCTATCTCACATATGCTTTTCTGTAGCCCTTTACATGTACATTTTTGCACAATAAAAATTTGTTGTTAACTTTGGTTTTTATGAAGTAATTGGAAAAATTCTCATCGATCTTTGCTTAAGAGCTTGCAACCTTAATTTGCCAGTGTGTAGAAACCCTTTATAAGTCCGGTTCATAAAGGTACATTTAAAAATTCGTCGGATTAGTGGAGAAATAAAGATTAAATGCGTGAACTGGCCCATTATGAAGCCTTAGTCATAAAGTCCCTTTAAAGGGTATAATACTAAGATCTACGAAAATTGTGAGAACTCTTATTTAAAAAAGGATCATTTTAAAGACAATCTAATATTCTTAAGGTTTTATTCATGACATTCAGATTTAGATGGAGTATATCAAATAGGTTGTCAACCTATTTGGAGTATATAGCAAAGTAAAGACTGCAACAACAAAATGTTATGCATCTTTAATTGGTAAATTTTTTAAAGTAACTTCTTTTTTTAAACATAATTGTTGTAAAAAACCGAAACAATCCCTGAAAAACATGATTAAAGTTTTTCTGCTTTAATGTATTAAAAACAATAATGAATCGGGAAAAAGTTGTATTTATTTTTGAAAGAAACTTTTGTAAATTTAGACTGCAAAATGTTAAACTGTCAAAATTTATGTCATTTTTGAAATTTTGAATTTGTTTGAGATTTGTTTCTATAAATATAAAAGTGCTTTAACAATGCAATGAATAACGATTTTCTATAACTTCGACCCAACTCTAACAACAGCTTGTGTCACGTGATTGACAGCTGCGAGATCTTCAGCTGCGAGATCTTAGGCTCGGCTTAAGGAGTTAAGCCCAATGAAAATAAAACCGACCTTGGTTGGTTTTAGTGGAGAATAAGACTCAATGTTGGGTCTTCTTCTCATCAAAACCCGGAATGCGCCAATTCCAACTATGAAAATCCGCCAAATACAAAATTAAACCGGTTTTATGAACTAAACTCTGTTGAAAATTAGAGCAACTTAAATCCGAAAGCTCGAGCCGTAAATAAGGCTCAACAACAGCTTAGACCCGAGTCGTATTTTCTTGAATTTTTTAAATCGCCGGCTCAGTTTAACTTAGTTTTTTTTATGTTTCAAAGTATCCCTGTTTGAACTCCATGACTCCCTGTCGCTGTCCCAAACCTTGTTTCGGTCCGCATCCCATGAACCATCCTTGTTCCTATCACCGTTCCATGAACCATCCTTGTTCCTATCATCGTTCCATGACCCATACTTGTTCCCGTATCCGCTCCAAAACTTGTCATTTTGTTTCTCCTCATTCCAATATTTGTCCTTACCCTTGGACCAAATTTAATTATTAAATATTTTGGAAGAACGAGTTTTCTGGTTATGAACACCTATTGGAGGCGAATACAACTGATGAAACGGTTCCAACGATATATCGCACATGCCTGGGTCATTTTTTCATACCTAAATTTGTTTCCAGGGGTGTGTGCCCTTAATAGGTGAATTTTCAAGTACTAGTGAAACAATATTGCAAATATACACAAGTTTGCTTAAATATCGTCTTCGTGCTCCTGCAGTTTTATAGAAAAATTTCGCTTTTACTTGAACCGACCTAACTCCGGGGCTGGCCGATGACGGATTTGCCTTTGGCTCAATAGAATTGGCTCAACTAAGTCAAATAAGTTGAACTACATCCTGTACTTCATTAAATTTGGTTCCTGGTTCCAATATTTGTCTCTCATCTTGTCCTCATTCCAGAATCCTCCTTTAGTTCGATCCCAGTTCTTATCGTAAGAAAATCTAGAAAAAGTATTATTATTATTATTGCAAGCATTCATAAGTCGATGGAAAGGGGGGGGGGGAGGCTAGGGAAAGTAAATTGCATTAAGACCCCTCTTAACTTTTTGTGGATAAACAATTGAACTTCTGAAGACATCTACCTTGCTATTAATTGTAAAAAATAAGATATCTAGATAAACACAATGTTATAATAGTCGACTCGCTTTTGATTCCAATCACGTGGGTAACCATCAAACACTTCAAAATAGTAAAATATTACACCTTGTCACAGGACAAGCGGCTGAAATCATTTTTCATTGTTGTACTTTAACAAATTATTGAACTAATCACTGCACAGTGCTATTTTAGAGCCGGGCTTGGTAAGAACAAAACTGACGCCAATAATTCCGTTTAGTGCCGGTGTCATACATGACTTTTTAGATATTTATTTATGTATTGTGATTGGACTTTAACGTTTATTTATGCAAACAAACAATTGTAAATGTTTTGAAATTGCTTTTAATGTGTAACATTGCGTTGAAATGGCTGTCCATGAAAACCACCTGGTTATTATATCAATGTATTACCTATCCCTATCAACGTTCTTATCCTTTCCAAGATCAAGAATCTAAAAACAAACATTCATAATGAAGCTAATCTGAAAATATTTTTTTTTTCATCGTTTAAACTTATTTTTGAAACAAAAATGAATTAAATACAAGAAATATAGTACTACAGTGACAACCAGAAACATGTAGAATAGGAAGACGACATTAAAGCAATATTGAAGTGCGTTTTAGGTTTTTAAAAAGCAAATAGCTTTACAGTAAGTTATTAAATATCACTTCTTAAGTGAAATGGGTCTTTAATTTAATTGGCCCAGTTGTTGCTTGCCTCATTTTCATTGGTTTATTAAATTCAAAATTTGAGTGTTAAAAGTTACTTCCTATTCCATTGTTTTCTGGTTATCACTGTTTATAAGTAGGCTAAAAATATTTGTAATAACCCTTAAATGAAGATTTAAAATTCTTAGATTCTCTATGTGACGTCACTGAATAATCTCAAGAAAAATGAATAATTACGGCAAATGCTCACATAAAACAAAAAAAACATTAAATTGAAAAATTTAAAGGGAAAAGGATAAGAAATCGCCTTTAAACTGAAAACAAGTTGATTGGCCGTGCAGTGACGTCACTTTACTGAATTAAATGACAGTATTATCAGAATAATAATGAAAATTATACCGAAAAAAAGATAAACCTTGTATTTCCGGGTTTCTCCTATATATGAAAGTATGTTCCTGTAACAGGAACCGGCAATTAAAAATTATCACTTTAATGATTTCAAAAACAAGGATATCTCCATCATTAAATCTCAACAATGGTTTCAATGGTACCATGCTGAATCGGAAATGTAGCGCAAACAATGGAGAGTTAATTTAAATTTCGTTAAATTTCGTTAAATCTCGTTAAATTTCCTACCACTTGTGAAGGTTCTGTTGTAGTTAATACAGGTCGATATTCTTCATGTTCCTGGTTTTCACCTAAACAGGTTAACCCTATAAAGGCTGGAGATCCTGTTTTTACATCCATTTTTCAAGGGCTTTTCAAAAATGTAGTTTTTAGATCTGACGCTTTAGATAATATTTAAACACGGACCGGACTTTTACAAAAATACTTTATAAATCACTTTTCCTTGAAGGTCAAACAAAATGAGAATGCTAGGGAAAAAAACTAGAGGGGCAGCCTGTTTAGGGTACAGTATGCAGTAGGACCCAGAAAAATGTGGAAAAGGGAGACTAAAGTTAATATTTTTTCAATTAATATAATAAACAACTATTACAAAAAAAGAATAAAGTTTCCGTTGTTAATATTGAGTTGAAACGAGAGATTGAAGTTTGCAGCAGCATAATCGTTCCGGTCATGATTTTTGAATGAATATATTATACGGGAGGGATGGTAATTAACCCTTAGGACAATAATTACTCCACCAGAGGAATAATAATTTACACTAAGGACACTAATTACTCCACCGCAGGGATGGTGCTTAACACTCAGGATACTAATTACTCCACCAGATGGATGGTAATTAACACTAAGGACACTAAATACTCCACGGGAGGGACGGTAATTAACACTCAGGACACAAATTACTCCACCGGATGGATGGTAATTAACACTAAGGACACTAATTACTCCACGGGAGGGATGGTAATTAACACTCAGGACAGTAATTACTCCACGGGAGGGATGGTAATTTACACTCAGGACACTAATTACCCCACCAGAGGGATGGTAATTAACACTCAGGACAGTAATTACTCCACGGGAGGGATGGTAATTGACACTCAGGACACTAATTACTCCATGGGCGGGATGGTAATTGACACTCAGGACACTAATTACTCCAACGGATGGATGGTATTTAACACTAAGGACACAAATTACTCCACGGGAGGGATGGTAATTTACACTCAGGACACTGATTACTCCACCGGATGGATGGTAATTGACACTCAGGACACTAATTTCTTCATCAAATGGATGGTAATGATCACTCAGGACACTAATTACTCAACCAGAGGGATGGAAATTAACACTGAGGACACTAATTACTCCACGGGAGGAATGGTAATTTACACTCAAGACACTAATTACTTCACCAAAGGGATGATAATTATTGTATTTTTGATGTATTCTTATTAATAGCCATTTCATTCCTAACAAACATTTTTAATATCACAAAACTTAATTGGGTGTGAAATTTTTCTAAAAAAATTTTACAGAAGCAAAAAGGTATTCAACTAGGAACACTAAGACATGTTTATTTAATGCATTTTTAATTACAAGTATTCCAAATAGCTGTCTCAAATGGGGTTTAATGATAAAAATGTGAAAAGATTAAAAGTATAAGTGAAAATAAAAATTTTGTAAAACTTATCGAATTTGATGAAACCGGGTTAAATTTCCGAAATCAAACCTATTGCAGAATCGAAAAATATTGAAATTAAAAAATTGAAAAAAAAAAATTTTAGAAAAAAACTATTTTTGACCACAACTTGCCCAATTTTAAATCTCTCTTGGTTGGTTTAGGTATTTATGTGTCTCTGCTGTTTGGTGAAAATAAAATAAAAAATAAAAAATAGAAAGTCGTCTTCATTGTATTGATATATATATTGATACGACGATGATGTGATTCAAGTTATAAGTTTCTTATTACCTGGTAAACTTGGTAAACTCTGGTGAACAGATTGTATAGAGTTCATGATATCTGCTGTAATATCATCCTCATCCAACATATCACATCCTAGACGGTATCCTAGACACAAATATTAGATTGTATAGAGATCATGATATCTGCTGTAATATCATCCTCAGCCAACATATCACATCCTAGACGGTATCCTAGACACAAATATTAGATTATTAGCTCGAGAACCCAGCGTTGCCCAGGTTACTATAAAACTGAATCAACTCAAGTTTCTAAACTGAGAAAGCTGAATTTCCTGATTCTTACCTAAGAAATCTGTATATACTGTTTCTAGACTGAGACTGTTTTTAACTTAAGAAAGCTGTGTATCCTGTTTCTAACCTAAGAAAGCTGTGTATTCTGTTTCTAACCTAAGAAAGCTGTATATACTGTTTATAACCTAAGAAAGCTGTATATCCTGTTTCTAACCTGAGAAAGCTGTATATCCTGTTTCTAACCTGAGAAAGCTGTATGTCCTGTTTCTAACCTGAGAAAGATGTATATCCTGTTTCTAACCTGAGAAAGATGTATATCCTGTTTCTAATCTGAGAAAGATGTATATCCTGTTTCTAACCTGAGAAAGCTGTATATCCTGATTTCCTATTTCCTGCTTCCATCAGTCCTCCTCTAATAAGCTGTAACCATACACGGTCCCCCTGGTATAATTAATCATAACAATAAAAATAATAATAATAATTTTGATATAATCAGCGTAATAATAATTAATTATAATGGAATTAATTTTCTATCAGAATAATAAAAACTCTGTGCCTTATAGGCTTCTAGTGGGCTTTTCTATTAACAATTTTTTTTTTTTAATGTTGCCATTCACGTCAAAATTTTCACCACACTCTGCAAGGAACGAAAATGTTCGTGGAATTTTTTTGTTAAAATTGGTGGATTTAAAAAATTTGACATATGGAAAAATACAGGTGGGCAAACCAAATACATCTGAGACAAATTTATGTATTGCACAAAATGTTCTGAAATGTAAATAAAAAATGTCACCTGAACCAGATCAAGAATAATGCTTGAACTGCCACTGATTCCACTGTTCCTTAATTGATAAAAATATGATAAACTCTGATTATTTTTTCAAACAAGTTTTATTTCTTAAAAATATAAAAATGTTCTCCCGCAAAATACACCTTGTTGCTATACCTAGCCAAACGGTTTCTATAAGCGGCATTAATATAGTGTTTATGTTTTAAAGAATCTACCAACTTGTTTTTAGTTAATATTTCAACCCATTTCATCAAGCTTTGAAGTTATTTTCAATGTTAAAAATTCACTGTTTTTCCTAAATTTTGTTTAAGAAAATTTTGTTTTAAAAATAAATTGTAAAAAAATAATTTAATTTACTACGTTTTAAGTCACGTTGTTTGACGAGGTTGTCTCAAAAAAACACCAAAAGTGGTTAATTTCAACATAAACAAACACAAATTCTTTAAAAATCTTATGATATGAGAACCTCTTTAAACATGATTGAAAGTGGACTATATTTATAAATTGCTTATAACCCATCTGAAATGTTAGAAATTAAAAAAACATTTTATTCTCTTCAATTAAAAGAGTTACGACTCAAACCATGAAAGTTATTTTACTTTATTTAGACGTGCTGTATTCACTATTTATAACACTGTTATTTTGGTTCGCAGTGTTATAAAGTTTTTGGACAGAAATTTTCTCTTTATCGAGAAGATTCAAGCTTTTTAGATTTAATTTTGTCCCGAGCTTTAGTGAGGGACAAAATATAATCTAGAAAGGCGAGAACCTTCGAAATTTAAAGAAAACCCAAAAACTTTACAGCACGTCGTGCCAAAATAATAGTGTTATAGGTAATTTTATGAAACGTTTGTGTACTTGTCTTATTTCAATGGCCATTCCTAGATCAAATAAGCATTGAAACAATGCAGAAGAAGTCAAAATATAAAGTTTATTTCTATTTTATTTTCATTTAAATTGAAATAAATATTTGGAAAATATCCTAATGTTTTTGGAGAAAATTCACGATGAGTAAGAATGAAAAAGTACACAATAGTTTCATAAAATAATATCTTTCAAAGAATTTTATTACATGAATCCGTCAATTTATTTAATATATTTAACATATTTACTGTCAAAACATTAACAAAACCTTGTAAGCGTATTTTAAAAGATTTAAAAACCCTCTCACATAATTTGAAACCGTATGAAACATTAGCATAACCTCTTCATGAAATATACAAAAGTATTACACGGTGGATCAAGGTCAATTCTAATTCGAACCGGAATGACCCTTTGTTGCAGGCCTTAGTGACAAGCAGCGAGGACTGGCCCGACCCTATCACATTTAACTTTGACAGTGCGGCCAGACTTTTTACAGAACCCTGTCTACCATATCCTACCAGCTTAGTTTAATGTGATAATGAACACAAAACACCTGTTCTATATATAAAGCAGTAATATCTGTCTGTTTGTATGTCCGATCATAATTGGGGAACGCGGCAGAACCACGGGAATATTCTTAGTTCTAAGGTGAAAGAGAAAGTTTTCCTGGCAAAGCTGGATTCCCAAGTTATCGTGTTAGATACATAATACATAGAGACGTTTGTGAATAAATGAATGAAGGGGTTTAATTCTAAAACCTAACGGAAACTTGTTAAAGGGACTGTAAGCGGAATTTAAAGTGACCCTCCCGATTCACAACGGTTCCCTTGAAACCTAAATCTGATCATTATTTTAATTTGTTCTAATTTCTCCAAAACATTTGCAAATCACTCAAGTAGAGAAACCACAAGAAAAATAATGAGAAATCAAAAACAAAAAAATTGATATCTTATTCATTTATGATTAATCAAAGATTGTTAGGGTTCCATTTTGAAACTATTGAAACATTTACAAACAATATTTGAATAAAACAAACAACAGAAATATTTACAGAACATCTTCGAAATACTTTAAATAAATTCACAGACTCTTATTTTTTTCATACTTCAAGAATTTTATGAATCTATTTGTTCTTTTCTTAAAACCTCTAAAATATTTTTGAAAAAATCATCATAAAACCTTTTTTAATCGGCAGGAAAATAAAGAAAATTCATTTTTTTATGAATCTATTCTAAAATAAGCCTTTTTACAAAACCTTGTTAGAAGACTATTAAAAACTTACAAACAGATTATTCACAGAGCATTTTAAATGTAGAAATATATTTATATATTTATTTATTTATTTATAAACTTTTCTAACTACAAAATATTTCCAGAAACATTATCGTTTTTTCAATTTTACCTTGATTCCGAATCAGCTCTGCCTTGCACAGAAACCATCTCAACACCATTCTTGAGCAAGGAAACTCTAAAAATTATATTATTTTGCGGATTTTTAAATGGCAACATTACAGATTTAGAGTGAGTAAAAAATCAAGTTGACAATTTTATTTGTACTTTTGGACACTAGTGCAAAATATCAAACTATAAGTGTATATATAGGATTGCATAGGAAGAGACGGGAATAGAGCTGGGCAAAATATCAAACTATAAGTGTATATATAGGATTGCATAGGAAGAGACGGGAATAGAGCTGGGCAAAATTCCGTAATAGAGTTGGAGGCTTTCGAAAATTAACGTAAGAGTCCATTAGCAAACGACAAAACCCGTTAGGTTTAGTCTGTTAACGAAAAGGATAAGATCGGTTGAAAACAAACGAAATTGATGGGCTTTTGAAAATAAGTCAAAATTTTTTTTTTTTTCGGCTTTTGCATGAAACTTGCAACAACTAAAACTTAATGTATTTTGATGTTTTTTTTAATACAATGGAACTTTTAAAGATTTATTGTAATGATTGGTGAATTGGTAAATCTAATTTGATAATATGTTAAACATTTTTTCATGGAAATTTTGGAATTTTGACAAACCGTCAACTACGTTAACAGTACAAAAACCTGTAATGGCTTGCACTGTTAACGATTTGACAGAAAGTTAATTGCAAAAATCAATTTTAAACAGCAGAATATCTTGTGTTATCGTGGTTAATAAAATTGAGATCGTTAACTGATGGTAACTTAAAAAACGGAAAATACCGCTAAGGAAATGAACGTTCTGTTCTTACATATTAAATTTAATTTTTTCTTTTTTAACGGTTGGAACTAACGGCTCAGCTACATTTTGCCTAGTCACAATTTGCCTAGTCACATTTTGCCTAGTCACATTTTGCCTAGTCACATTTTGCCTAGGTAACAGTTTGCCTAGGTAACATTTTGCCTAGTAACATTTTGCCCAGGGTAACATTTTGCCTAGAGTAACAAAAGAGCGAATTTTTTGCCTAGTCAATAATTTTTTCACAAAGAAATTTTCATAAATCCGAGTTTTTTTTCAAAAATCCGCAAATTTTTTGACAAAAACTTCGCAAATTTTTGAAAATCATTCAGTTTCCTTTAACCCAATCAGAAGGAGAGACACATTGAAAATGGCTCCCATGATAACTGCAGGGCTTACCAGGCGGGGTAAGCCCAACTACAGAGATAAGAATAACTTCTATTATGTTTTCAATGGGGAGAGGGCAGAATTGGCGCTGTTCCCAGAGATCATGCACTGCAACCCTAACAACGAGGATATCTACTGGAAACCTGGTAGGGGATGTACTCCCAACAAATGGCCATACCAACAAGCTGCTGAAGACGAAAGCTAAGACGACAGAAAAGGCTGTGATTGAGAAATATGCCAATGTTCAAGGAGCCCTACCTTCCAACGTGCTTCAGGAGATCAGCCAATCTATGCTGAACTCTGACTTCCCAGGCCAGATAATCAGTGCCTCTTCAAAGTCAGCTATCAAGATGAAGCTCTGGAGACAGAAGCAGATAATCAACCCAAGGCCTGAGCTACCAAAGTCCTTTGAGGAGTACATGAACATTGAACTTCCCACTAAGTTTACTCAGGCAGCCGATGGGGGTGAGTTCATGTTTCACAAAGATTGGGTTGACAATGAGAGGACGCAGCCTTTAGTGATGTTCATGAGCAGATGGTCTGCCGATATTCTGAAAACACACAGTGTATGGTTGTTTGATGGAACTTTTAAATCTGCTCCTCCCCCATTCAGCCAGGTGAAATATCTATGTGAAATAATATACATTTCAAACTTAATTTTTAAAAAATTGTTTTAATTAACTGAATTAAGTATGTATAATCTTTTATTCAGGTCTACATTGGGATGGCAGCATCTGAGGTAGGTGGCCAGGGTATACCATGTGTCTATTGCCTTCTACCAAACAAAAAGAAGACAACATACCTACAGCTGTTCAGCAAGATTAAGGAGAGGGTGGGAGCACCTAACAGATCTTACGTTACGATTTATCGAAACGTTATTGTAAAAACTTTTTTGTTACACTTTTTTACAACTGACAATCAAAACTGTTTATTCGTTTCGTTTCTAAGAAAGATTTGAAAAAATGTTCTATACGTTGCGTTGTATTAAAATGTTTCTAACGTTACACTTTATTAAAATAATATTGTTTTTAAATGAAAGCATTGAAAGATTTTTTCCGTCATAATTACATATTTTTACTCACCCTGTATGTTGCTGTTGTATTGTTAACCTATAGAGAATGTGTAGAAGAAAATGCATTATGCAATATAAAGATGTTAAAATATTATTATGATTAATGATTTTTAAAATTTGTAAATGAAAGTTTTTAGCATTAGACTTTCAACCCAAAGTGTGTCTTTAAAGGACTAGAGACGTAATTTCAAGTGACCTTTCATTTATGGAGTGGCATGTCCATTGTCCAGCAGGGGTAATCAATATTGGAATAAGCCAACCGCCCACCGGAAGTCGCTGCGTTTTCACCGTAAGGCCACAAAAAAAAAATTATTTTTTATTTTCATGTTTTACATCATTTTCTTGAAAATTCAATGCTAAATTCAAATCTGAAAAACGTTTTAAAAAATTGAAAATTGAGAAAGTCAGAGCTAAAAAACTTATCAAAAACATTAAAAAGTTTTAAAACCGGAATTTAGTACCGTTATTTGGCCATAACTTCTTTAGATTTTAATATATTTAAAAATGGTTTTCGAATCTGAATTCAGCATGACATTTCCAAGAAAATGATGTATCATATTTATTTTTTGCCAGATAAAAGACAGGAAAACACTCCTAATTTTCAAATCATCAATCAGATAAAGGTATACACGTTATCATTGGAAATCGAGCATGGCCCTCTTTAAATGGAGGATCACTTGAAATTATCATCGTGTATTTGACGAGCTTAAAAAATAGACATATTTTTGGACACTTCATGAAAGTAGTTAAAATTCGGCAAGACAAAACCACTTTTGCATGTGGAGCAGTAGTTCTAAATTATTTTAGATTAGTTTGGGGTTATTTTTTTCTTTTTTTACGCAATGCAGACTGACCCTTTTTTTCTATCTAACAGAATTCATAGTTTAAAATAGCTAAGGCCTACAACATTGGGTAGCAAAGATATAGGGATTAGAAATATAAGTTTGTGAACAACTTGCAATTCCTTTAAACATTCCTTTCTAACAGAAGTCATAGCTTGAAATATCAAAAGTCTACAACACCAGCTTGCAAAGATTATAGTTTTCAAACCACAATGAAAATGTTTTCAGAGTTCATGTTTGGGGTTAAAAAATAGTTAATATAGTGCTAAAATTTTTTTAACACAAACAACGCAAAATAAAAGTATTTAACATTTTTTTCTTTTTAAAAAAAAAATCGATTAAAAAATCAGTTTTTTTCTATTCTAAAGTTTCATAAAAATTTATTGATGAATAAAACATAACTCGCATTTTCCATTTGATAAAATATTGTCGAATTTCTTAATTTTTCAACCTAAAACATGAACCATGATTTCAAATAGTCAAATAAACATGAAACACAGCAATTGTGTTTGTTCGCAGACCCGTTCCACTTAATAAGTTGATTTTTTTGCAATTAGTAAATCATTTGCTTTATAACAGAAAATGCATATGTAAAATTTCTTAATGTCGTGTATTCTTTTTCCAAAGTTTTTGTGGGTTTCATCAAACAATGGCAAATCAAAACCTTTAATGTCCAAGAAACATTTATAAGATTTGAATTTTCACTAATAGCATGTTACAAAAAACTCGTTTACACTTTAGAAAGGAACTAAGTTTTTTTTTCAAATTTATTAATCCAACCCGATGGTTTAAACCTTGTATAATCAATATTAATGGTCTACGACATCGGGTTGCAAAGATATATTAAATGAAAATTAGAGTTTTTGGCATAAATTCATTTTCTTTAAACTTGAAATGAAAAACCATAATTCTTTGCTCTTATAATAATCAGTCGAATCTCTTACATTGATCTATTAGAGACGTTTTGAAATGTTTTGATTGACAGAATTATTGTTACGCTTTTGAAATTAAAACTTAGCCCTCATAGTCTAACATTTTCATCAGACATATATCTAACGTTAGACTAATCAATTTAGTATTCTGAGAAAAGTTATGAAACATTTTGATTTTCTTAATTACATTTTTTAAAATGTTGTACGTTACATTATTGAAATTTTACTCTGTAAAAAAACTTTCGTTTCCTGATTATTAAAATAATAACCCATTTCTGCAACGTTGAATTTTTCATTATACAATGAGGGAAAACGTTTCAAAACATTTTCATAAACAGTAATGCATTTTTCAGTTATGCAACGTTACACTTTTTATAAGTTAAACTTTGAAATAGAAATCCTTTCGTTACGATATTCAATCAAATCACAATTCATTTTTCAAACGTTAGACTTTCAAGCACCCTGTGGAAACAAAACATTTCTTTACGTTATGGTCAAAAAAGTTGTAGATATTAGAAAAATAACGTTACATTTCCAGAAAACGCTAACGTTGGGGGCATATTCCTCTAACGTTAACGTTTAACGTTAACGTTAGGTATGAGCTCCTATAACGTTAACGTTTAACGTTCACGTTATATAGAATATACCCAAACGTTACACATAATTGTAACGTAACGTACAAAAACGTACATTTTACGTTACGTTACACTATCGTTGACATCTCTACTCCAGACAGAGGGTGAAATTTGTTGTAGAAGCTTTCCCTACCATGCCGAAAGCTGATTATATCCAAGCCCTTGCATATGACCAGCAGAAGATAAATAATGATAAATAAAGATCACCTGTATTAATTCCTATGTATACTCCATGATTATGTAAAATGTATTTAAAAAATATATATATATATATCTGATGTATAACCATATTTTTTTTTTGTAGAGTGACAGAAATGTTAAAATTGCTGTACAGAATACAATTCAATTTATTAATTTTAATTCATTAAAATTTATCTGGTTAAACTTTAAAAAAAAATGTTTAATTCTTGACAAAATTTGTTTTTCATAAAAAATTATTGACTAGGCAAAAAACATGCTCTTGCGTTACCTAGGCAAAATGTTACCCTAGGCAAAATGTTACTAGGCAAACTTGAACTAGGCAAAAAGTTACCAAGGCAAAATGTTACCTAGGCAAAAGTGAACTAGGCAAAATGTGACTAGGCAAAATGTGACTAGGCAAATTGTGACTCGGCAAAATGTAGCTGAGCCGAACTAACCGTTAACAAACCGGCTAGAACAAGTTGAAACGTGCCCAAAAAATGGGGATTGATTAAATACATTGTTATTGTTTTTAAAACAACCATCTCCTAAAATATGATTTTACGTAATAATTCTGATTACACAAACACTTGTTTAAGAATAGAAAAAAATAAAGTATACTTTACTTTCTTTTTATATATTCATATTATATGTATATATTTTTTATACAGTGATAACCAGAAAACTGTAGAATAGGAAAATTACATTAAAACAATACTGGAGTGCATCTGATGATGTTAAAAAGCAAATAGCTATTTATGAGTGAAATGGGCCTGTTTACATTGCACAATTGCTGTGCCTCATATCATTGGACTATTTAAAGTCATAAATTGAGTTTAAAAGTCACCTATTCCAGAGTTTTTTGGTTATCACTGTAAAAGCCAAAATCTACTTAAACGAAGTTTAGCTTCAAGAGGAGAAATATCATTTCTAAAAAAAATTGTTTTACATTTATGTTGACTTCTTTTTTATTTTCAATAAGAAATATATTTTTTAAATTGATTTCGAAAATACGATATATTACAAAAACAGTATTAGGGCCCAATGTGACATGCGAGTAACTGGATATTTTCTTTACACCCAATTCAGTGACTGAGTGATAAAGACATGGTTGATTACATTGAAATTGGCTTCGACATGGCTTCGACTATTCACATAGATATACTGTGCTGTAACATTTTTAGTCAACTTCAAAATAAATCGATGAAGACTTAAAAATTTCACTAAATTTTAATGTTCTTTCGGACACCCTATCAGTATCTGATTATTTTCATGACCTTAAAAATATACTTACTTAAAGCTATCAGAAGCTGCTGCATCAGCAGTTAATGAAAATGATAGAAAATATAATCCTGGAAAGTGGACTTCAAGCAGAGACTCTCTAGAATCCCAACCATAGTTGGAGTCTACCAACTGCAATAATAGAGAATGGGGTGAAAGTCGTCTTCTTGTATTATGTAGCACGATTACCAGAATAGAACACAATACAAGTCGTCTTCACACACTCTTTTAATCAGAAGGATTTGTAATTAGTAACTATATTATGATAATCTGGCCCTGAACATATTTAGAGATGAATTTGATTAAGTTTTATTTTGATTACCACAATACTATTTTGTAAAATAATTACCAATTAAAGGGATTTTTTATAAATTATTAAATAACGACGATGAAAAATGTATAAAACTTCTACAGTTAAGTAACTAAATGTTTTTTGGCACCAAAAATTACCGTATTTTCAAACAAAATTCGCTTATCTCCTGGAGCCCGTGAATCTTCTGTTGCCCGAACTACGCTGAATCCAACCACATCTAAAGTGTCAGATATTTAAAAAGAATAATACACTTGGATTCAAAGGAAACATGTATTTATATTAGATTATCGCATTAGATAACAAGGTGTATTTTTACCTGAAGGCTTTGTTCGTTTAGTTGCGGCATCTACTAGAAATCTGTCCGGAGAAAGTCGTCTTTGCTCAGAATGGAATCCATCTCCTGACTAAATGGAACAAAAAAACGATCAACAATCAATTTGAAATGATAGAACACAGTAAAATACAGTTAGAACCGTAAAACTGTGGAATTGAAATACAACATTATACCAATCATCAATCAAAACATGAATAATAAAAACTAAATATTATGTTGCATGTTTTTATTCATACAATTCTAATTGCAAATTTAGAAAATAATTTCTAGGATTCTTTTGCCTGAGGCCGCCTTTAAAGTATTTGATCCGCGTCGCTGAATCGCCAATAACCGGTTCCAATTGATCGCCGGCTCAAATCTCGCAACACTTAAAATATCCAGCTGAACCAACCATGCTTGAACCGTGTCTCATGTTTGTTCCTTCAAATTCTTAAAATTCGACCTCAATATAATTTAATCTTTATGACGATCATTAGTAACAAACATACAGACCAATTTTACGGAAGAATAAAAATGATAATTTCGCTTGGGCGTTTTTTTAATTGTCTCAAGGGAAAATTAATTAGTTTATTTTCAACATTAAGAGATTAAGAAGAATTAGTTATCAGATAGATTAGTCATGTAAAAAATTATTTACAACTTATACTTCACAGGGAAGTTAAGGGAATTTTATTTTCCCCAAGGTTTCCCAAGACCAATTTTGCCTACAAAACATCTAAGAACAGCAAGTGATTTTTCGAAGGCGGTCAAGGGAACCCGTCGCTGAGTGAAAATTTTAATTTCACGAAAAAGTAGTTGCACACAATTTTATTGTCTTTTGAGGTAAAAATACGCGTTTTCTTTCTCTCGAAAACTTCCCAGAGCGGGTGTATATTTTACACAATTGTCCCAAGGGACGTAAAGTAACTAAACGTCCCTCTGTTGGGGCATAACAGGTAGGTAATACTTGTGAAAGGGCGGTAAAAGAGTGCAGACAGAACAATCTTAAAGCTGTTATTTATAGATTTGCAGTAATTGATATAGAGTATGAATTGCTCAACTTTAATGGCAAAATAAAAGAAATATTCAGAACAATTTATTTTGCGGTTAGGATTGCGATGCAACCGATTATTATTCAAAACAAAATTCAAATTGTAGATAATAGTAAGCAATTTTTTATTTAATAAATATAACAAAAACATAAAAAATTAAGTTTTTCAGGAGAAACTATTTTAAAACCTTCAAAGTTAGAGGTTGTGGGAATATTCCCCCCCTTTATTGATTGTTTTCTTACCTGGATTTCCGTATTGGCCAGGCTGACCCAGCCAGGACCTTGTGCCCGCCGGTCAACTGGTTTTATATCTAGCAGGTGACTGTATCCAGGATCATCTTTTAGATCTGTCAGAATATGACTTATATCAACATTACTATTCTCTGCCTCTGCATACAAACAATTCAAACAATTGGTAAAATCATGTATCTAAACATTTAACAAAAACTAAGAATATTATCTGTATATATTTAAAGTAGTAATCTCTGTTTGTCTGTTTGTATGTCCGATCATAAATCAGGAACCTCTGAACCGATTTGCCTCTGATTTGATTGGAGAACTCGGGAGGACCACGGAAATGTTCTTAGCACAATTTTGAGATTCAACTTTCACAAGAAAAGGAAAAATTCGTAATTTACAACCAAGCGCGATAAAGACGGGGGGGGGGGGAGGCAAGCCCTAACTTTTCGAAAAAAATTTAACATTTTTTTTTGACAGCTCACATTGGCCATCTTTCATTTAATAAAAGGTGGGGCTCAATGGTAAATTCAAATTCGTTGACAATCCTTTAAACACATATTGATTCATTTTCATTCATTCATTCTTTCATTCATTCGTTCATTCCTTCTGCAGAAAATGCACTAGTCTCAATAATCTGATACTTTTGTGATAAAAGTAAAAAATCTGATATTAAAAAAACATTTATCTCAATTGTGACTGAAGTGCCTACTTTTGTTATTTTGTTATTGATTAAATAATATTGGTTTAAAAAGTAATGTAAATATTCCTCTCTTTAATCATCCCCTCTTATTAGAACTAAAAGGAATGAGCATTGTTTTGAAACACGTGGAAAAACAAAAAACGATCGTTTTTCGTTTCGTTTCAGGGTTTTAATAACTAACAAACTTTCGTATTTAGATAAATCGAAAAGTTTAAAAAACCAAACTTTACAAGCAAAATCTCATAGAGTTTGTCAACATATTTTATCAGTAAAATAGGTTGTTTTGTTTGTTTTTTGAGATGCTTGTTTCATTGTTTTGTTTTGTTTGTTTGTTGTGTTGTTTGTTTTGTTTTGTTTGTTTGTTGTGGTGTTTGTTTTGTTTGTTTATTTTTGTTTTTTTTGTTTCCCTGAGTATCCAGAAAAATTTCTTCTTTTCTCTAATTCTTCGGTAAAATTCCTTTAATTCATTTTTTATTTGTAAATATCAAGATAAAATTATTTTCAAGCTGATTTTTATCAAAATATTTTTATGCTAGGAAAAAAATCTTCAAATAACATTTGGCAATTATTTTTTTGGAGTCTAGACATTTTTCAATAAAATAAAATAAATAGATCCAATCAAACTGCATTTTCTTATACTCTCCACAGTCTGAAAAATTGTGGAATTGGAAGACGACAGTAAATCAATTTCATGTGTATTTTGTTGTAAAGCAAATAGTTTTTTTCGTGAGCCTAAGAATCAACTTAAGAAAAGGCCGTTTTTTACTGCACAGTTGGTGTTTTGTGTTTATTGTAATTGTCGTCTTCCCTAGCTATCCAGTTCCAATGTATTTATTGTATTTGATTGTAAACCTTTGTATATTATTTTAAAGAAAAATCAAATTGAAAGCAAATAAAAAAATGATTTCCTAGAAAGCCTCATTAGATAAACATGTCGGTTTTCTTCTTCCTATTAATTTATAAATACAAATAAATTTATACAGAAATATAAATAACTGGCTCAGGTGCCCGGCGATGCCCGTGAAAGTTTAAAAATACTTAAAAATAATTTCGAATTAAGAAAAAAGAATTTCAAGCCTATGCTTCCGCTAGGATTAAAAAAATTTCATTCTATTCGGTTCGGCCTTTGGTCAGCATTAGCTAACATAGATATACGTATATGGGCAAAGAACTTCATTATATTAAAGGATGTAACATCTTCGGGTTAAATCAAAATAAATCTTCATTTCAGTTAAAATTAAACCCCGAATTTTCATCACCGAAATTTAAATGTAAACATAATATAACTTGTAAGATTAAAAATCACTAAATATAAAAAAAAAATCTCATTTAAGCATTTTTCAAAGAAAAATTAATTGATTTTTTTAATATTACTTTTAATCAGGACTTAATTCTACACGAAGGCAGACTTAAATTTTTCGGGGAATTTTTTTTTGAGATTTTCTTTCCCATTTTTCAAAATAATTTTAATGATAAAAGATTAATCTATTTTTATTTTTTTAAATTGCATCGGAGCAAACTTGGATATGTTCAATAATTTATTTAGGAAAAATTACACGAGAACAAAATTGGAAGAGTTTGATAGCTGCTTATATTGGTTTGATAGCTGCTTATATTGGTTTGATAGCTGCTTATATTGGTTTGATAGCTGCTTATATTGGTTTGATAGCTGCTTATATTGGTTTTGAATACAGATTTACCCTCAAAGGAGGATATTTGAATTACGACCTCAGATTCTGACGTTCCAAATGTACTTTAATATACTCTGTAATATATGCACCAAATCACTTGTCAAAAAAGCTAAGGGTACTAATTTAAAGGGAACTATGAAAGTAAATAAAAGAACTGAATGAATTCTGTCTCTGAAGTATCATCCTTTGCGGGTAACCCTGTATGTGAAATGCTTTACCCTTTATTCTAAAAAAATTATTAACCTGCGTTTTCTGTATTGAATATCCACAAGCAACATTAACTAAAGCATATAAACACAAAATAAAAGCAAGCATAATGCTAAAGTAAAACAAGCCACCACGTTGGCAGCCAGAGCTCAACTGATGTATATCATAAATTAAATAAGAGACACATTGTACCATCACGACCTTGAAATATAAAAATAATTAAAAATGGTTTTTAAATAAAAAAATATTTTAGAACAGTTTACATTTAAAAGTAGACGATCAAATTTGGTCGTGTGGGCGCATGTATGAATCATACTTTTAATACTTCATGGTCGTACGGGCGAAAATAAGTAAGATAATAAACATATTTCATGGTTTAGGATTTCTCCCTGGAATTGTTGGGCTAGAGGGGCGTATCTGCAGGTCAGGGGCGGGGCCTTGCTATCATCTAACTACCTAACTACCTAGAATTAACCTCCAATTGACAATTAGTTCTTTAATATAGATTTACTTTCTTTTTTATACTTTACGTTTCTTTTCTTTGCCGACAAGACTTCTGCATAATCTTTGATTCACACTAGATTAAAAATATAGTTTCATAGATATATAAAGAGAAAAGGAGGGTTTGCAGATCTTAAAGGTTTAGAGTAAATTTAAATTTTAAGACTTTACTCTATTTAACTTTTATGAGAGTTAGCTTGTTTGATACAAATACATGTAATTGCTATTTTTCAAACGTTTTGTATTTCATTTTTAATTTCATTTTTTAAGTTATGGAGAAAAAGACTATTGGTACCCTACTTACATATGTATTAGAGCTGGGTTGTTTAATAGACACATATTTTTAATATCTCATATTTCATATTTTATTTAGTTTTTAAAGTAAGAAAGAAATAATCCTGAGTCCTAATAAAATAAATTTGAGCCGTGTTTCAAATCCGCCAAAACATCGGTTTCAATTGAGCGCCGGTTTAACCCTATTCCTGCTGGGGGGGGGATTTAAGTGGAACCAACCATATTTGAGCCGTGTCTCAAACTCAAGCGGCGGCTCGAATTCTTTAAATTCGAACTCTGAACAGCAGAAATAAATTGCGGTTCAAGCCAAGATATAATCTAAAAAGGCTAAAACCTTCGAGATATATGAACATTTAAGTCCAAAAATGTTATAACACGTTGTAGAAAAATATTGGTAATTAGGATAGTTTCATGAAATGTTTGTGTACTTGTTATTTTAGAATTATAGTAAAAAATTTTTGGAGAAAATTCCGGGACTAGTTAAACTTTAATATTTCAGTTATTTCAACATGATTAAAGACTCTACTCTACTCTACTCTACTCTACTCTACTCTACTCTACTCTACTCTACTCTACTCTACTCTACTCTACTCTACTCTACTCTACTCTACTCTACTCTACTCTACTCTACTCTACTCTACTCTACTCTACTCTACTCTGTAAAATTATATTTATGACCCTAAACTAATGTTTATGTGCTTTCCATATTTTTGCTTTCTTGTTTGCGTCAGTATAATGATAAGTCAGCATGTTTTCTGCAGTTTACTTTAGTTTTAACGGTCAAACACAGTTCTAATGGGTTAAATATTGTACACTGTACAATGTTCGTAGAAAAACATTTAAATTTACTTTTTTTTTTAAAGGAGTTGAGTCTTTGCAGCAAATTCAAATATTCTAATCCCTAAATAGATATCTTAGCAAACTAATTGTGTAAACCTTTGATATTTCAAACTTAGACTTTTTGATTTAACAGAATTCATAGTTTAAAATATCAAGGGTCTACGACATCGAATTGCAAAGATGTGGGAGAAAAAAAATTAGAGTGTGTGGCAAAGCTCAGTTCCTTCTGGACATTTTTACTATACAATTAAAACAATTTAATATATACATGGACCAATTAATTTCCAGGGTCACTGAATCTTTAACTTTAAATCGGTGGTTCAAAGTTTTACCGGCAGTTGATAGTTCACCGACGTTGCTCAAATTCATTAAATTCGGTCCCTGATAATGCATATATTTGTATAAATTATTTTGATTTAATTTTTATTTTTTTTAATTCTCTGTTTTAGAAGTTTTTAATAAGTTTTAAAATGTCCGGTTATGAAATTGAGTCCTTGCTGAGAAAACCCAGTTTCAGGTTTAAACAACTTTTATTTAAAAAACGCCAACGATCTTTAGTTAATGGACTAAACACTTTAATTAGCTTTAGAAATGATCACATAATATTTAATTTTACGTAAAAGTAACATTCTTTAATTCTATACTTTCTATTTTTACCAATCAAACAGTCGTTTTAGTTTTCTAGCAGTAGATAATTGATAGCGAACTTTTTGTTCATTCTAATCAAATCATAATTGCACATTAAATTCAAAGTATCATTTTGATAGACACAAAAATTGAAATCTATAGAATAAAACAAGACATTCATACATATGTTCCCTATGGCCGGCCAAACGGTTGGACCGAATGGGCCGAAATTTTTTAGGGGACCCAGGGGTAACATATGCTAAAAATCGATTTTTTTCTTCAAAATTCGACGGGCAACACAAATGTATACGCTCTAACGCCAAAATTGATCATAAATTTGCAAATTACTAGTTGCATAATGGTATGCAGGGATACCGGGTTATTTTAAATACTCTCGAAGAAACATCAAATTGAAATTTAAGTGTCTGAAATGATAAATATGAATCACGGCTTATTGTTTTTACCTTCTTAAAGGGGCTGACAAAGTAATATTTCAATTAAAGTAATTTCTAAGCCGTACCGTAACAACAAGGACAGTTTCTTCGTTTATCTTGAATTTCTACCATAAACATGGTTAAATTTCGACAATTTCAAATTAATAGAGACATCACAGATGAAAACTGTGACATTTTAAAGAGGAATTTTATAAATTCTTTAAGAGATTAAACTACTAAATGGTAATGAGAATCGATCATGTACCTCTTTAAATTGATAATCTCTTAAAATAACGCTTATAGTCTCTAAGTCTAAATTAGACATATTGAAAGATTTCTCTTAAGTCTAAATTAGACATATTGAAAGTTTTCTCTAAAGTCTAAATTAGACATATTGAAAGTTTTCTCTAAAGTCTAAATTAGACATATTGAAAGTTCTAAATTAGACATTTTTAAAGGTTTTCTCTAAAGTCTAAATTAGACATTTTGAAAGTTTTCTCTAAAGTCTAAATTAGACATTTTTAAAGGTTTTCTCTAAAGTCTAAATTAGACATTTTGAAAGTTTTCTCTAAAGTCTAAATTGGATATATTTAAAGTTTTCTCTAAAGTCTAAATTAGACTTATTTAATGTTTTCTCTAAAGTCTAAATTAGACATATTTAAAGTTTTCTCTAAAGTCTAAATTATGATTTTACAATCGCCATATCTTTTCAACCTGTGTAAACCTTTGATATTTCAAACTATCATTATTTTATCTAAAATGATTCATAGTTTGAAATATCTAAGGTCTCTGACATTCTAATGAAAAGATATATGGATAAGAAAATCAGATTTTGTTTCAAAAACTCAATTCCTTTAAAGTTTTTTTCTAAAGTCTAAATTTGACATATTTAAAGTTTTCAATTGTCTTAACATATATTCCGGAAGTAATGCAAGTTCAGCATTATCACATTAAGTCGGCTTTTAACTGCTTTTGACCTTCTTGGCCTTTGATTATGGTTTACCACACAAACTCTTTGATTATGGTTTACCACACAAACTCTTTGATTATTGTTTACCACACAAAATCTTTGATTATGGTTTACCACACAAGCTCTTTGATTATGGTTTACCACACAATCTCTTTGATTATGGTTTACCACACAAACTCTTTGATTATGGTTTACCACACAAACTCTTTGATTATTGTTTACCACACAAAATCTTTGATTATGGTTTACCACATCTTTGATTATGGTTTACCACACAAACTCTTTGATTATGGTTTACCACACAAACTCTCTCATATTTTTATTTTGCCCTAAAAATGCACATTTTAAAATTGCAACTCACTTGATTTTTAGCTTTAGTTAAAAGAAATATAATTGGTGAAATTCTGATTTATTTTTGATTAAAAGCGGTAATATTTTGGTTCACAGTCCCATATTTCTTTTTTTAAGGGATACCAGGTCTCCAAGTAAATGCTATGAAGATTCCATTATAATGGAGAAAAAAATTCGAGAAATTGGGCTTTTTTCAGGTAGACACTTTTTCTGATAGATACTTTTTCAGGTAGATACTTTTTCAGGTAGATACTTTTTCAGGTAGTTTTCAGGTAGACACTTTTTCAGGTAGATACTTTTTCAGGTAGATACTTTTTCAGGTAGATACTTTTTCAGGTAGTTTTCAGGTAGACACTTTTTCAGGTAGATACTTTTTCAAGTAGATACTTCTTAAGGTAGATAATTTTTCAGGTAGATACTTTTTCAGGTAGATACTTTTTCAGTTAGATACTTTTTCAGATAGATACTTTTCAAGAAGGTATTTTTCTTAAGATACTTGAGAAGAATTCGAGAAAATATAGAAATGGTATATTTTTAGATAGAAAATACAAATTTATAGAATATAGTTTATTTTTTATTTTTGTTACATGGAAACCCTCGAGAATAATTTGTGCTACACAAATTATGAATAATTATTTGATTTTTTAAAATTAGATTTTTAGTTTTGCAGATGGGGAATAAATTGTCCAAGGGGTGCAGGGGGTGAGCAAATTTTTTTAAACTATAAAATATCCCCTAACTCACCCCATATACATGGAATTAATATTGTAAAAATACTGTGTTTTTTTAATTACACTGAATATTTCGAGGAATAAAATTTGTTTCCAGTCAAAGTTTGGTACCCTAGATTGTATCATTTAAATATCTATCTATCTATCTATTTATCTATCTATCTATCTATTTATATATCTATCCTTTTATCTATCTATCTATCTATCTATTTATCTATCTATCTATCTATCTATCTATCTATCTATCTATTTATCTATCTATCTATCTATCTATCTATATGTATATCTATCTATCTATCTATCTATCTATCTATCTATCTATCTATCTATCTATCTATCTATCTATATGTATATCTATCTATCTATAGAGAATGTTGGATTTACCTTTATGAGCCTGCTAAGTGATGAACAAGAAATGAAGAATATCATCAAAGTTGGTTTTAAAGGTAATTAAATTTTAATTTTCATTTACCACCCATAGAAAATTCTAGAAAATTATAAAAATTTCTAGAAAAATCTAACAAAAATCTAGTAAAATCTAGAATAATCTAGAAAAATCAACAAAATCTAGTAAAATCTAGAAAAATCTAGAAAAATCTAGAAAAATCTAACAAAAATCTAGTAAAATCTAGGAAAGAGGCCTTTTTTAAATACCCCGCACACTGGACCAGAGTGACCGCCAGGTTCAAAGTTGTTGCACTCAAGCCAAACATTATTTTTTTTACTTACATATATAGGATGTTCAAAAAAATGTTTTTAAAATCTGCACTGCGTGTTAAGTATCTTAATTTTATGATTTAAAATTGATTTAAAGTTGATTAAAATTGTTAGTTTTTGTTGTAGAATTTAGTAAAATTCCGCGAAAATATGGCAGAAAATCCACCAAAATTCAAAATTACTAAACAGTACATAACTGTCGTCTCCTAATTTCACTACTTTATAGGTCTCACTGTATTCCTACAATAATGAAATTAGGAATTTAGGGCGCTTTGCTTTGATTCTTTTTTTCTATGAAGAAAATAAAATCGTTCAAATGTTGTTCACATGTTTAAATGTGGTATTATCAAACCTCTTAATTTAATTATATAAATATTTATAAATCAATAATATGAATGCATTGTCCTGGCGCCTTCTATAATTTGCAATAACGTTTTTTGTTCGTGACATTTAGTTGTGCATCCATCAGGGAGTAAGGAATCGAAGGGAGATATAACTGACGCGGCCCGCCCTACCATATGATTATACATGATTTGCAAACGGTACTTCATTTGAATAAGAAATATTTGTCTGATGTACAATTACCGCGTATACAATAACCCATTCTGAATATTTCTTATACAAATGGATTACCGTCTGCAAATCATGTATAATCATATGGAAGGGCGAACCGCGTGCAGTTATATCTCCCTTCTATTCCTTACTCCCCGGCATCCATCTCTATGGATTTTAGATGTCTATAGGATTTCATAAAATATGTAAAAGGCATTTTCCCCCCTAATTCAAGGGAGTTTACTGGGAGGGAGATGGAAAATTTCTGTTTACGCCCAGGATCTGAAGAATTGATTATTTAATAAATCTGTTAAATAGTTGGAATGATCTAGAATCTGTTTTTTTTGGCTCTCGTCTAGTTTGAAATTCACGTTTTTGTTTGAAACTACTAGTTTTTTAGCAAAGGAACTGAGTTTTTGCCACAAACTAAAAATTTATTATGCCTTTATCTTTACAACCTAATGGTTCAAACCTTTGATAATTCAAACTTAGATGATTTGATTTAACATAAATCATAGTTTGAAATATTAAAGGTCTACAATAATGTGTTTAAAGATATAGGGTTTAGAAAATCAGAGTTTGGGGCAAAATATCAATTCCTTTATTTAGCAAAAAAAATTCCACAATAAAAAGTTTTTTAAGAAAATGAACATGAACATGAACATGAACATGAACATGAACATAGAAATGTATTTCTTTGACTGTTTAGAAGTAGAACGAGAAATGCAAGAACTTGATGAGGCATTGAAGGAGGAAACTAAAATACGAGCACAGGATGACAAAGATATTAAGTAAGATGATGATGATGATGATGATGATGATGATGATGATGATGATGATGATGATGATGATGATGATGATGATGAGGATGATGATGATGATGATGATGTTGATGAACCAAATTTGAGGATTATCAATACATGGTTGAACTGCATAAACGTGGTTCAACCACTTCTCTTTAGCATGAACTGGAACAAGTCTGCGTGATTCAGCTACTGATAGCTTTTCATTAAATCCTATTCCGAAAGAGAATTAGTTATTCCGTTCATTAAAAAGTTCTTAACTCTGGAATATAAACATTACCGAACATCTAAATCTACTTAAAGTATGACTCAAAGATGTTTACAAGGAACATAATGTTCCTAATCTTGGAAACTATCGGAATATGATGGGAACCCAGCGGGTTGCCCAGGGTTGTCATAGTTTACCCGCGCTTTGTCATAGATTAGAATTTTAGCTATTTTTCCCTATAAAAGTGGACCCACTCAACTTAAAAACTTAAGACCAACGCTATAGTTCCCTAATCAAAATAAAAGGCAAATCGGTCCAGGGGTTCCTAAGTTCTGATTGGGCAAACAGACAGACAAACAGAGATTACAACTTGATATATATACATGGATATTTTTAATTAGGGGAACAAACTCTTTAAATATTACTCTATAGGTCCCTGCTGGAGTCCCAGGTAGGGTGGATAAAGGACGCGCAGGACCAGCTGGAGAAAAGACTAGAATCTAGAGTGCAAGATCTAGAAGCGAAATGTACTGCTAAAATGGATGATGTTGGAGGAAAAATAGAAAAGATGGTCGAACGAATTCTTCAAGAACGAATGAAAGAAATGAAGACAAAATTTGATGGGCTGGAGGAAAAAATTATGGAAAACATGATAGGTAGAATTTTTCAAAGTTTGTTCCAAAAAAATATTTTTAAAATCAGGATGTCCACAAAAAATCAGTATTCTAATTTGCCTTCTATGTTCATCTTTGTTCCTTTTTTGGATAAAGCAAATGTCTCATTTTCTCATTTTCTGATTCTTCGCATAACTTCCAGAGGTGGTCAATAAATGTGAACCCATAGATAAATAACAAAACAGATAGAACACTGTAAGTCGTCTTTTCAAAATTTAGGGTTTTTTTTTGGGGTCACAGCAACCATAAGGCAGATGCTCAAAGGAATTACGCGCATGTTCTCGCTCTGTCTTGTCATTCAACGCGGTAGCACGTAACTCCTCTGGGCTTCCGCCTTAGGGTTATTGTGAATGAAAAACCCCTAAATCTTGAAAAGACAACATATAGTGTTATATCTGTTTTGTTATAAATCTATGTGTGAACCTTTTCTTCAAATTTCACACAAGCCAAAATTGTTTCAACCCTGCCATTTAAAATCATTTATATTAAGTTAAGTTCTCATTTGTATGAGAACATTCAATAAAGCTGTGTAACGTATCTAAATTTCCAAATGACGGATATAACGTCTGCAAAACATTTTTTTTATTTCCATTTTATTGTTAATGAAACAAAAATTCAAACTCGACATTTTTCCATATATGGTACATTTCATGTAGAATGTATGTATAAATGAAAAATTTCAAATGAAAGCGCTTAATTTAAAGAAGTTTGTATGCACGCCTTATTCAACACTGTTCAGTGTGGAAATCTTCGTTTGAGCAAAATTTAAGAAGATCATTTTTTTCTCGAAAAATTTTAGAATTTTGGTCTCTTTTAGACAGGACTTGCGGATATTTGTCTTGGAAACAACGAAGGAAATGTTCGAAATTAATCACGTTTTAGTCGACAATATCTTCCTCATTGTTGCTCAAATATAAGCATATGGGTACCATTGTGAATTGGGCATGCTACTCTATTACTTCTCTCGTCCCTATCCCTGGGGTACTTTAAAACCAGGATACGCTGGGGGGGGGTCAATTTGACCCCCCCCTCTACATTTTTTTGGCGTTAAAATCAAAACGCATTTTATTAACGAAGACTATGTTGAAGAGTTTAAAATAAACTTGACCCACCTTTAAATCTCATGTTTGATGTCCAAATATGACAAATGATACATCATTGGAAAGCTCTAAATCTGCAAGAAAATTAGCAAAAATCTATTTTTTGTTGTTGCAAAATTCAGTTATAAAGTAAAAATTTTGAAAACAAAGGTCCAAAAACTGATAAAATATACATTTTTGAATTTTGAAAACTTTTCACCATTATTCCATTTCAAATATGCAAAACATTTAGCAAAATTTTATCATGAATTTTAGAAAGTAAATATTTGCCAGGAACTGACCGGAGTAGTAAATATTTGCCAGGAACTGACCGTAGAATGTAAATATTTGCCAGGAACTGACCGTAGAATGTAAATATTTGCCAGGAACTGACCGTAGAATGGTAAACCTAGAGAGGAAAACTCAAGAAGAAACTAGAAACGCACTTAAAGCTGTGGAACAAAATAACAAAGGTAGGTTTGCTGACTAAACATTCTTTATTCAATTTATACAATTTGAACAATTCGAACTTTTCTAAATATTTGCATCGTAAAACTTCTTGAATAGAAGGAACAGGAATTTACAAGATAAGAAGATAAGACATTTACATTTTGGTTTCTGTGTTTTAAATCTAGATTTAATTTCTGTGTAAATTGATTATTTCCATTTCGGAAACGGGAGTTTTAGATGTTATTATTATCATTTTTTGTTCGAAAAACACAGAATTAAAATTTCATTCCATTTATAAAAGTTAAAGCATATGTTATGGAATTGGAAATTGTATGACGGCCTTATGTTCCACCCTGATTCAATAGTTAGGTCCCTGACCCAGCAAGCTCGGACTTTCGATCACATGAAACATAATACAAACATTTTTCTTTGGTATATCTTGTTGACGGCGAATGGGTTTATTTGAAAATGTATTTAAAGACAACGTTGTATAATTTAATTGCTTGTTGAATTATATATACATAAACATTATATATATTGTTGAATTATATATACATATACATTATATATATTGTTGAATTATATATACATTATATTATATATATTGTTGAATTATATATACATTATATTATATATATTGTTGAATTATGTATGCATATATATTATATAATCTTCCTCATTAAACATTTGATTAACGATACGTCCATCTTTTACATGGAGGGTCACTTAAAATCACGATCCTTGAATTCTTTTAATTTTTGAAAGCATTCCCTTTCAGTTGCCCTGGAGACCTTGGCTCAGAGAAGTGAGGATGATTTAGCCCTGATAAAGCAAGCAGCAGAAAATAAGGTAAACACCAGAGATTGATTAACACCTATAATATGCGATATAATCCACAGCATGTTCTATTGTGTACACTGTACAAGTACTGTACACAACCAATCAGGAGACATCTTTATTCAGAGATATTTATGGATCCTTTGAATAGGAAATGCAAAATCTTTAAAAATAGACAATATTCATAAACGTTATGTTTTATGTTTAAAATTGGAGTATTTCTTTAAATGTTGTAAAACTTAACCCCTGAATGCAACAAGTGGCCGTTAGATGTCAGTCAAAAAATATTACATGGGACTGTAGCATGGTGTGCCGGGACACGAAAGGTCTGCTCAGCCTATCCAGGTAGAGTGTATGAGCAGTCTGTGTAGTCTGTGTTAAACACACAGACTGCCCATTCACTTTACCTGGATAGGCTAAGCAAGCCTAAAGGTGTACCATCACGCAATGCTACATTTCAATGAAATTTGTTGTCTACCATCTAACGGCCATTTGTTGCAAAAAATACACATTCAGGGGTAAAATTAAATTTTTTTAAAGAAATACTCTTATTTTTAACATAAAACTTAAAATTAATAAATTTAGTCTTTTTTTGAAGGTTTCGTATTTATTATTCAAAGGATACTTAAATATCCCTAAGCACAGACGTCTGTTTACTGGTTGTGTACTCCAGATGTACACACTGAAGACTACAGAGACCAAAACTTAATACAGGGTATCATTACGAAAACCAGTTTTAGAACCCGGGTTTCAAAAATGGGGTTAGGTTGAGAAAATCAATAGTTTTGTTAGGCTATTTTATTCAGTTTCTTTATATTTTCCATTTTTATTGAATCCCCTGAATCAAAATCTACACAAATGTTAAGACCATGAATGCGATTAGCTTAGCTATGTATAGTGATTAGCTTAACTACGCTTACATATATATCTGCGCAAATCTTTTAAATACCTATATTAACTTAACCTGTAACATAGATATCTAAATACATGTCAGTTGAATTAGACTCAGCTTTGATTATGGTGAGAGAGTAATTTGTTCCTCATTTAACAAACAAGTTGATGAGATCATGCCCATTGGTTTGGCATTAATAATTTACGAGCTTGGGTTAGTGTTGGCATTGATAGCTGAAGAGATTGTGCCCAGTGTTTGGCATTGATAGTTTATGAGCTTGTGTCCGTGCTGACATTGATAACTGAAGAGATCCTTCCCGTGTTTGGCATTGATAGTTTATGAGCTTGTGTCCCTGTTGACATTGATAACTGAAGAGATCCTTCCCGTGTTTGGCATTGATAGTTTATGAGCTTGTGTCTATGTTGACATTGGTAGCTGAAGAGATTGTGCCTGTGTTTGGAATTGATAGTTTAAGAGCTTCTGTCCGTGCTGACATTGATAGCCGACGTGACATACCTGGATTTACGAGTAAGGCATTTACTAAACATTCTCTTTATATTTATAGTTTTTGTTACAAAAGTAAGAAATGTTTCATTGTTTATATAAATTTAACATTTATAGTTTTATAGGAATCAGAATTCGATGCCTTGAAAGCTTCAATTCTAGAAACGCAGGTTAGTTTTAAATCTTTAAAGAACAGCGTCACTGCAAACTTTATCACATCTTAACTCCTTTAGCTTTAATTACACCCACAATTACAAGAACATCAAATTTTGTTCTTCCCAATAGCTTCACTAAATGAAGTTATGATTGAAAACATTAAAGATTTTAATCTTATGAGAAAGGAATTGAGTTTTTGCTACAAACAAAAATTTTCTAACCCCGAAATCAGCACAACCTGATTGTGTAAACCTTATTTTCAAACTTACACTATTTAATTTATCAGAATTTATATTTTTAAATATAAAAGGTCTACAAAATCGGGGTGTTAAGATTAGAAAATCATAGTTTGTGGCAAAAACTTAATTCCTTAACCTTAGTTTGACCTGAGCCTGCGATTTAAAAAATTCGGGAAAATATGGCTTGGGTCAAAGCTGTCGTTGGGCCTTATTTACAGCCTCAGCTTTCGGATTCAAACTCCAAAAAGCTCAAAAAACTGGTTTAACATTCTTTTTGGGGAATTTTCATGGAAGGAATTGACGCATTCCGGGTTTTTGTGAGATCAATACGCAACATTGAGCCTTATTCTCCACTGAGACCATGCAAGGTCGGTTTTATTTTCATTGGGCCTTAAGTTGAGCCGAAGATCTTGCAGAATCACGTGACACAAGCTGTCTTCAGAGTTGGGTCGAAGATTGGGTCTTAAAGTCGGGTTTACGGAATTACGGCTCGAGTCAAAGTTTTTAAATCGTGGGCTCAGAAAATTAAGAAATATTTTGTTCTCCAGGAAAATGAGACCAAAAGGCTAAAAGAAGAAGGAGATAAAATAATGAAAACAATTTCAAAGGGTCAGGAGGACATGAAAACGTTTCAAACACAAGTTGATAACAAAATTAATGTATTGTCTAATGAACTTGGTGATATTAAGAATCATATTGAAGATAAAACTGGGGAAATTGATGCTAGCATTGAAGCAATGCATGTCAGCTTTAAAGATAGATTTGAAGCGGAAAGAACTGAGACTGCCAGGGAAACTGAAGCTATGAAAAAGCAGTTCAAAGGTAATGTTGAATTGTTATTAACCCTTTAAAGACTGACGTCGTATGGCCATGGAGGGGGGGGGGGGCAGGCCCAATCAATGAGTTATGAATTAAAAAAAGATAATTTAAAAGGGGTTGCCTCACATACATGAAATATGCTTTTTTCCAGCTGAAAAATGACATAAAGTGACTTAGCCAGTAGAAAAGTGAAATCGAAAATATTTATTATTACCCTGGAAAAATTATATATTTAACTTTAAAGTGCGTACAAAAATAAATGTTTATCAATCAATCAATCAAAAGGTGTTTATGAACGAGTTCATGGTAATCGAAGAGTTAATGGTAATGGACGAGAATTAGGGACTTTAAACGTAATTTCAAGTCATCCTCTGTGCAAAGATGGCAATGGCCGATTTACAGAGGTACACTTTCAAATCGTTTTCTGATCAATCATGAACTGATTGATCCAACTAAGGTTTCAAGGATAACGTTGCGTATATCCATTGTAATCTTTGCATAAAGATTGAAGAGTACTTAATACTACGTTAACAGTCCCTTTAAGAAATATGTTTTAGATGATTTGGAGGAGGAGAAAAGAGCAAGAGAGCAAGGTTTTAAACAAGAAGGGAAGTCAAGACAAGACTTGAGTTTAAGAATAGATGGACTAGGAGAACAGCTGGAGGAGAAAATAAATAAAGTAAAACAGGAAGAAAAGGAATCAAGGTGAAACTTTTCCTTAAATATTAAATAAATCAAGATGAAAATTTTCCTTAAATATTGAAGAAATCAAGATGAAACTTTTCCTTAAATATTAAAGAAATCGAGATGAAACTTTTCCTTAAATATTAAAGAAATCAAGATGAAAATTTTCCTTAAATATTAAAGAAATCAAGGTGAAAATTTTCCTTGAATATTGAAGAAATCTAGATGACACTTTTCTTTAAATATTAAAGAAATCAAGGTGAAATAAAAAAAGAAAAAACTGGAAAACACAACACAACAAAATATCATTTACATATTAGTAATTAAAAAAACGTAAAGATTTTTTGTATTCTCTAAAAATAAAGACTAAAACAAATAGATAATTTTAAATGGGGGGCATGAGGTTCTGGAACCATCACATCTAGTTTAGAAAATGTTTAAAGGGTTTAAAGTGCATAAAAGGAAAAGGATTTAAGAATAATTTTATGCGCGGGCCCGCGGGGACAATAGATTCTATTTTTTACAGTTTAGTTTTTTAAACTTGAAAGAAGATTATTTCTGTTTCTAACTGGAGTACATTGTGATTAATCCATTTTTGACATTTTTAAGCCAAGGGTTTAAAGAAAAATTAATCAATTTTAAGAAATTTTAATGAAACCAATCAAAAATTTCATTCATTTATAAGAATTGGATTGCCATTTAACCTGGAATATTAAAAAAACTCTCTGTCATTGCTTTAACATTCATATGAAATTGTGTCTAGACTGTTAAAAAGATGGATATTATAGTTTATGCATAGTTTCTGGCGTTTTAGAGACTTTAATATTTTCAGATAATCAGGATTTCTATCAAGATACCGGGACTTATACAACGCGCTAATCTTCAATTAATGGGATTAAATACTAAATTAATAAAAGTTGACTTTTCGATTCAATTAAAAAATTCCACTTTAGAAAAATATGTCATATTGCTAAAGTTGTTGACAAACCGCCTTTATATTCTATTATGGATAAACTTTCACAAGTTTTTCAATACTAACCAATGAACCAAGCAGTTTTTGCAAAACTTTTTTTGCAAGAATGAAAAGTTTGCCAAAGAAGCAAAGTGTGGTTGCACAGCATGCTATAAAGAACCATTCACGATAAATGAATTACAAAAAATATAAAGATGAAATTGAATTTATTCAAAGTGAACACCCCACAAATACAAAGTTATTTTTGTGCTAAATTGGGTGTAAATAGATATCTAAATTTGATTTGCAAACAATCAGATTGCAAAGATAAAGGGATACAAAATTGAGAAATTGATGGGATCAACTAATCTGAGCTGAAAACTTTAGAATGAGATATCCTTAATCCCGATTACTTAATCTGAGTATCCAATGTACACACTTTTCATTTTCTTCCTAAACATCATTTCTTGGATATAGAAGAGAAAAATCAAAAACAGGTTTTTCAATTTTAAAAGTTCCTCCTGTTTCTGCATAGAATCTTAAATGGCGCGTAAAATTTCAAATTTATCAGCTCCATTGCCCATATACGCGACTCTGATTGGTTGAATTTTATACTCTTTTCAAGATAAAAGTACAAGATTAGATTAGTCTCGATATTAACAAAGCGATGATCAAGCGTTAATCTCAATATCCACCATTCTAAAGTTTTCAGCTCTGTTCATTTAATTTGCATAAATGATGTGAACGGGAAGGGTGGCAATTGTTTTAAATTTCACAATTACTAAAAAAAGATTTTTTTTTCATCTCTTCAAAGAATCTTTCATACAAAAATGTGTTCAAGGAAAAAAAACAAATAAACAGTAAACAATGTTATATGTAACTTATTCAGGGATCAACTAGCATTGGATGTAAACACTTTAAAAGAGGAAACTAAGGCGAATTTAAGGTAACACAAAATTTTGTACATTATTTTGCCTAATATTTGTTCTGACCGAATATATTAACAATCGCTGCATGGTCTTATCTCCATGTGTTCAATATATGGCAATAGATTAAACCAAAATTCCAAATTCTCTTATTTTCTAAAAAAAAATAAAAATTATATATTATGATTACTGGTATTTCTAAAAGATTATGGTACCTATAATTCAAAGTTTTAATCTTCAACATTTTATGTTGTAAACTTATGATATTTAAACTAAGAATACCGCTAGATTAAATAGTTAAAGCTTAAAGAGTTTACATTCAATACATAAGTTCTTTCTGATTCCCCTGTCTCCAGAAATTGATATAAAACTGTTTATACCTAAAGTTATACCAAAACTCATATAAATACGCAACAGTTTTGAAAATTACGAAAACCCAGAGGAGCCTAAAAAATTTAGGTACACTCCTATTATAATCAATTTGAATATAACACTTATTAATTTTTAATAGATATAATCGATAACATTTTTGTTACGTCTGCATCACATAACCATAATTTCCACCAAGGGCAGTGCAGTAACTGGTCACGTGGCACTTTCTGAATCACATGACCAGAATTTCCACCAACGGCCGTTCAGTATTTGGTCATGGGTCTCCTCCAGTCATTTGAGTTTTGGTGTAACTTTGACACAGTTTTACATCAATTTCCCGAGAAAAGGAAAAAGAAAAGAAAAGGAAATAAGTTTCGATCAACTCCTAAAATGTTTAGGGTTCAGCCTATACCCCAATTAATGTTTCCTTAACAGTCCCCTTAAGTTTTGACAGTTGAGAAAAATTAATAATTACAATTATCAACTTCTCAATGCTGTTATTAAGCTGAATAGACAGACTAAAATAAGGGAGCTATAGCCTTAACCCGGCCTATTCCGACTGACGTCTGGTTTACCCAAAGTTTGACTGGGGGGATCACAGTGGCCCCCCCTCTATTTCCTTATTGTGATACAAATCTATAACATATGATATATGTTTGGAAAGCCCCTGGGCACCTTTTTATTAACCTGCAAAAATTTTTTGCAAATTTGCATTTTCTTACATATTTATTTCCAAATAATGTTTTATAGCGAAAAGTGCGCGAAATATAATAAATTATACATTTGTAAAAAGCCCTGACCCAGCAAATTCAAATATGCAAAAATATTTGCAAAATCTTCAAGACATAAATATGCATTCAAGGAAAACTAAAACTGTGCAAATTACCTTTTAAAGCGTCTGTGCAAAAATCTACGCAAAATTTCTTTGCAGAATTGTGCAATCTGCTAATTTGTGTTGTAGGCTTCCTAAAAAGCCATAAAATGTTGAAATCCAATGACTGGAATTAGGTCTAAATTTGGATTTAGTCTGGTAAAGGTACAATAAGGGGTTTAGGCAGTAGCCTGAGGAATAAGACGGCAGGTATAAACGCCCAGCTTTTATCCTAAAATGAGGGGCATATATGAGTTAGAAAAGTAAAAAAATATAAACAGCAAATAAAGTTAATATATTTTTGATATTTTAGAAGCGGCAACCAACTGTAATCAAGTCCTGAGGAATCTTTATTTTTTCAAAAATGATTTTTTTAGATTGAAGTTTTTAATTAAATTAAATTATTTATTTACCCGAGAAGCTTGTTTTTTTAAAAATCTTAAATCTACATACTCTGACGTATTTACATGATAATGTTGTCTTGGTTTTTAGGACAAAGAAATTTTTTTTGTCAATATCAATATTTTTAAACATAAAATAGTCGTTCAAGAATAGTTTAAATGAATAATCGACGTAAGTAGGGCTGGACAAAGTTCCGCTTTTATCCTAAAATGAGGGGCATATATGAGTTAGAAAAGTAAAAAAATATAAACAGCCTCAGACCAATACTTTTTGACGTATTGGAAAAAAAACGACATAGGGGGGGGGGGGGTTACCTAACTCAGTCGGAATAGGGTTTAGGTATGATATGATTAATATTTCGTAAATTTGGGTCTAATTTTACTTTTAGACCAGTAAATCCCGTTGATAAACCCACCAACGTTATAGAATAGAGACTCAGGGATTCAGACTCGAGTCTAAGCTTTCTTATCGAGACCTCTGGTTGCAAAGAAGTTGTTACAACTGAAAAGAAAATTGAAGTTTGAGGCATTTAATACCTTTAGGGAAATCGACGAGGGATTGAATGTTCGAGCTGACGAGCTGAAGAATGATTTTGAAAGAAAAAAACAGGAAATAATCTCAACACAACACCAAGTAGAACATGAGATAAACAAAAACATGGAGAAAATAAAAACTGATTTAGGCAACTTAAGAATACTAATTTAATTTTCATTATTAGAAAAATTAATATTTACAAAGTTAACGTGTAAACCTACGTTGAAAAAATGTTTTCTTTTGTTTTCTTTTTGAAAATTTATTTTTTCTCAAATTGTAACTTTCAGATTTACACAGTAGAGAAAAAGGGGAAAATTGCAAATAGAAAATCGTCGTTACTTTGTTATATTGATGATCAGAGAAGGTTTAAAGAGGGTGATACCACTTTTAAAAAATGGGTATCACTTGATAAACCAAGTCGACATCCCCTTTAAGAAATTTTTTTTCATTAAATTGTGAGTTTTCTTAAACACGCGAATACAAAGACATGGAGATGGAATTACAAAAAGAGGAAAACAAAGAAAACTTAAACAAATCAAGTCAGGTATACAATTTTTTAATTGTATTTTGATAAAGATTTGACCGCAAGCCATAGTTATATATATTCTTTTATATCTATGCCGCAAAACACATTTATTTCCAATATTCATATTCACAAAGCTCACACTTTACTCGGAGCCATGTCTTTTAAACTAAGATTCGTTTTGTCTTAAAAACGCAACAATAAAATTTAGTTTTTCGTTTGTTTAAAAAAATAGTTCCAACCCTAAAAACAGTATGTCCGAGGCAGTAAGAATTAAGTTCCAGCTTATAGCCTGAAGTAAGTGTGCTTTAACTAATCTCAGACCAATACTTTGTGTGATTTTGCAAAAACTATCTGGGGGGGGGCCTTCTCTCTGCTAAGATAGGGTTAATTTGTTCCTTTGCGTCACTGAATAAAATAGCACTGTATTTCGCAAGGTTGTATAATAAGGTTGCTTACTCTCGATGCGCTCCAATGTACGAGAAATGTTGGATAGATAAAATCCGAATTTGACGTCACTGATTATAGAGGCAAGAGTTACGTGTCGGATGCGACTTCTATCTGTCTATGCTAAAACTATGTTCATCAAGAGTAGGCAACCTTAGTTATACAACCTTGGTATTTAGAGGGTTGATGAGCTGGAAGAAAATATATCTTCACAAATTAGTTCAAAATTGCTCAATCAACAACAGCTCATCGAAAAACTAGAAAACAAATTAGGTGACCAGGTGTTTTATTTTAAAAAATTTATTTAGAAATTAATTATAAACTCTATAGATGGTTTCTTCTTTAAATGAAACCCCGCGAGAAAATTTTGTGGCATTCTATTTGAATTTTTTTAGCTTTCTTTGGTGTGATAAAAAATATACTAATTTTGTTGCTTTTAGTTGAATATATTTTTAATATGGTAAACGAATATTTTTATATGCTAAACGAAAAGAGTAATAACTATTAAGCAACCTCTCAATAAAAATATTTGGCTAGAAATAAAAAGAAAATTTCCAAAAATTTATTTACACCCAGAGCATTGCAGACAGGGTTTTATTGTAAAACTGAAACCAACTTCCATTATTTTCTTTGCACAATTTAATTGTATAGTAGTAGATTTACACAATATGTTATTATCGTTTTATAATTTTATTTCGTTTACACAATATGTTATTATCGAATTCGGAATGTAAATTCACAAAACTTCACAATTTAAGTTTTCTAATATTAATTAATAAAGTTAATATATTTTTGATATTTTAGAAGCGGCAACCAACTGTAATCAAGTCCTGAGGAATCTTTATTTTTTCAAAAATGATTTTTTTAGATTGAAGTTTTTAATTAAATTAAATTATTTATTTACCCGAGAAGCTTGTTTTTTTAAAATCTTAAATCTACATACTCTGACGTATTTACATGATAATGTTGTCTTGGTTTTTAGGACAAAGAAATTTTTTTTGTCAATATCAATATTTTTAAACATAAAATAGTCGTTCAAGAATAGTTTAAATGAATAATCGACGTAAGTAGGGCTGGACAAAGTTCCGAAACCGAAACGGAGGTTTTTGAAAATACTTGAAAGAGTCTGTTAACGAACGGCAGAAACCGTTAATCTTTAAATCGTTAACGAAACGGATCAGCCATTTAAAAAAATTAACGGTTGAAAATGAAAACGAAACGGATTATTTTTAAGAACGATGAATTTCGTTTTTTGGCTTAAAATTGCATTGAAAAAAAGTTTACGTGTTTTACCGTTAATTCTGTAATAATTTTCCGTTAATGCTGTTATAACGGTAACTTTAAAAAAAACTGAAAATACAAAGTTTGTTCTTACCCTGAGATTTTATTCTAAAAACGGTCGGAACTAACCGTTAACGAAACAACTTGAAAAAGTTTGAATGTGCCCAGTACAAGACAAAGAGAAAGCGAAAGGAACAAAAAAGACAACTTTAAAAATGATAATTGTTTAATATAAAGTGAAACTGTAGAGAAAAGGAGGAAAATATGGAATTAGCTTTAGGTAAATTATTAAAATTATTCTTAAAATAGGTTTTGACGAAATGTTTTTTAACTATCAAGGTCAGAGGGGGTTATCTTATTGGACGAAAAGAAAATCAAATCTATTTGAACCAATTCTGTCCCATTTGACCTATAGAACTAAACAGTTACAAGACAAGAAGAGATAAAATTTTGGTTTCTATTTAAAAATTTAGATATATTCCCGGTATACAAAAGTTGAGAAATTCACTATGGAAATTCCCTACTCACAACAATTTGGGGACTGTAGAAAATTTCTCAACTATAGGTTTATTTTTCACAAAGATATTACTATTCTAGCGGATATAAGGCAGGAGCAAAGCTTACCTCTTTCTGTTGCTTTCAATGCAGTAAGGTAATTTGAAGAAAATTTATAAATTTTTAATTAAAAAAAAATTAGCCTGTAAATCTTGAAACATTACAGCTTCAAGTTTGATTTCTGCCTTTTTTTTTAAACATAGTTTTTTGATTGTAAACTACATGATTTGGCAAAGAATTAGGGTACCATTTAGGTTTTTATATTGTATATATCTATTGTACCCTATTAACCATTTGTTGGTTTCGGCCGTTTAAGTGAAATAGATTCAATGGTAAAGGCCGGCCAAGTGTAAACATTTGTTTATTGTTAATTTACATGTAGTAAGAAAAAAATTTTCATGCAAAGAATATGATTTGAGTAAAGTTTACAATAAACTAATCGTTATTCAAGCTTAATTATAATTGACAACATTGTTCTGCAATTTCCTTGACTGTAATCATGTTGTGTGTCTGTAACAAAAAAGTGTGCGTGTGTGAAAACGAACTCGTCTTCAAAGCAGTGTGACTGGCTTTCTCATCCCAGACAAATGCCATTTCCCTTCCCTTTATTCTTATTCCCTGATATAGGTAGGGATGTTAACGTTTTCATTTTTCAGAAAAACGATCGTTCCGTTATGAAAACGACGAAAAAAATCGAAAACGAAATGTTCGTGTTTGAAAACGATCGTTTTTTAAAAAGTTCGTTTTTTAAAAATGGTCTTTTTTAAAACGATCGTTTTTATAAAATTCGTCGTTTTTCAAAACGATCGTTTTTCAAAACGAGCGTTTTTATAAAATTTGTCGTTTCGTTAACGATCGTTAGCGACGACCCTTCGTTAACGATCGGTAACAACAACCCTCCGTTAACGATCGTTAACAAAGAGAGGAAACCGACCTGAAGGGCATCTGTACTTATCATTGAGTTGGTTTAAAGAAAATATCAAGAAGTTTTAACGCCCCCACAACTGTGAAACTTCATGTAAGACGACATTCAATAAAGTTGCATGTAATTTTTTTCAAAAAACGACCGTTTTGATAAAGTTCGTCGTTTCGTTAACGATCGCTAACGAAAACCCTTCGTTAACGATCGTTAACGATCTTTAAGGACAACCCTTCGTTAACGATCGTTAACAAAATTGTCAAGAATTTTTTTTTTAAACAATCGTTTAACGATCGTTTAACGATCGTATAACGATCGTTTAACGATCATTTAAAAACGATTAACAACCCTATATCACATAGGCTTACTGGATCTATGTACTATTATTGTAGGGATGTTGATTATATTCTGGGTGGAGAGGAGTACCTTACCTTCTCCCACTGTACAGTCAACTCAGGAGCAGCTATGGACCCAAAGTGAGTGTACAATATGAGCTGACTGTCACGGTGTCAACATTTTTCATCTGTGCGCCGCAATTACCCAATAATGTTAATATTTTTGCATCAACCAAAAGAAAAATTGCAAAAGGATAACTTAAAAAAAAAATTTCCGCAAAGGGCAATATTCGAAAAAAAGAAAATTCCGAAAAAGACAATTTCCTAAAAAAAGGGACTTTTTTAAACCCACCAATCACCAGTATCTCGGAATTTATGAATTGTATCAATGCATCACGGTCTGGATGTTTTGTAGGCAAAATTTATCTTTGGATTCTCTTCATTCCCCTGATCCGCGTAAAGTAGTTGTAAATATTTACTATGCTACTATTGTATACTTTATTACTCATGGTCAATTCTTGATAAATTTCATTATAAACACTTATAGTGCTAAAGCTTGGGACAAAATATAATTTTAAAAGGCTTGAACTAAGATATAGATAATGTGCCTGTCTAAAAACCGCGAACCAACATTATAGTGTTATTAATAGTTATTTCCTTTATGAAAGAAGTCTTTTCCGGAATTAAGTCTTTCTATAAATTTTTTTCTATTTAAAATTATCTATTTACAAAGATTTTCTTTTGGTACATGTCATGTCTCCAGGAAACAGATATGGTTTAAATATTCTTTAAAGAATATATGTTTAAGAATTCAAATAATATATTAAAGATTTGCATGATAAGATTAACCAATGCAAATGTTCAAATGTTCAGAAATATTGTAAAACTATATAAAAGTATTGAAAAAAATCATGCATTACTAGTTTCGCAAACAATATAAACAAACACTTTTTAGTTTTAAATTTGCTTAAATGATAAAACCCCTGGTTTTAGACACAAATATACGAATAAAAAAATAAGCCAATATTTCGATTTTAAATCAAAGTTACGACAGAAAAAAAACAAAAGATGACATTTTTTTCCATAAAATCTTAATTTAAAAAGTGAATATGTACATAAAGCAAATGTATAATGCTGATTCTGTTTAATATTTCGAATCAAGGATGATAATCTGGATTTGGATCCGTATAGACCAATGGATTTTGCTGATAATTATAATTTTGCTGATTATATATTTAGATCTGGAGTTTTTACTGTACCATATTCAGGAATATACTTCTTATCTCTAAGGTACATCTTTTCATTTTTTAATAAAATTGTTAAGACTTTTTTTAGTTTTGATCTGAAGAAATAGCCTGTGGTTTTTTAAAGCAAAATTTGTAGGTCTTGAAGTTTAAAAGACAAAAATAGCCTAACTTGGATTAGGTTTATGATCTTATGAACACTTGTAGATGTTCGCGTTAGTTTTACTACAACTCGCTTGTTCATGGTTCGTTAATTCGTTTATCTTTCAGCCGTTCATACAACATTGAATTTGTTCCTTTTCAGAATAAACGTTAACTAACTGAATGATCGTTTCAATCATTTGTTTGTTCAGTGATATCGTTTGTTCATCGTTCGTTCGTTTTTAGTAAAAAAACTATAGTTTTTTTCTAAAGTTTTTGGAAAAAACCGTTCAATAAGTATACACCGTTCTAAATGCATGTCTATCTACCTTACAATTTTTCTCAGATGTGACATGCTTCTTAGTTTAGTATAGCATGCTATTTAATACTTTATTGTTGATCAGTTCTTTTTATTATCCTGTTTTCTTATATTTTTCTTCTCAGCAGATATAAATAGAATATATTTACAGTGTATGCTCCCAATATATAAATTGAATATATTTACAGTGTATGCTCCCAAGATATGAATTAAATATGTTTACAATGTATGCTCCCAAGATATGAATTGAATATATTTACAGTGTATGCTCCCAAGATATGAATTGAATATATTTACAGTGTATGCTCCCAAGATATGAATTGAATATATTTACAGTGTATGCTCCCAAGATATGAATTGAATATATTTACAGTGTATGCTCCCAAGATATGAATTGAATATATTTACAGTGTATGCTCCCAAGATATGAATTGAATATATTTACAGTGTATGCTCCCAAGATATGAATTGAATATATTTACAGTGTATGCTCCCAAGATATGAATTGAATATATTTACAGTGTATGCTCCCAAGATATGAATTGAATATATTTACAGTGTATGCTCCCAAGATATGAATTGAATATATTTACAGTGTATGCTCCCAAGATATGAATTGAATATATTTACAGTGTATGCTCCCAAGATATGAATTGAATATATTTACAGTGTATGCTCCCAAGATATGAATTGAATATATTTACAGTGTATGCTCCCAAGATATGAATTGAATATATTTACAGTGTATGCTCCCAAGATATGAATTGAATATATTTACAGTGTATGCTCCCAAGATATGAATTGAATATATTTACAGTGTATGCTCCCAAGATATGAATTGAATATATTTACAGTGTATGCTCCCAAGATATGAATTGAATATATTTACAGTGTATGCTCCCAAGATATGAATTGAATATATTTACAGTGTATGCTCCCAAGATATGAATTGAATATATTTACAGTGTATGCTCCCAAGATATGAATTGAATATATTTACAGTGTATGCTCCCAAGATATGAATTGAATATATTTACAGTGTATGCTCCCAAGATATGAATTGAATATATTTACAGTGTATGCTCCCAAGATATGAATTGAATATATTTACAGTGTATGCTCCCAAGATATGAATTGAATATATTTACAGTGTATGCTCCCAAGATNTATTTAAAGGGACTGTAAAGGAAAAATGAAAGGGGGTAAAGGCTAAAACCTGAGAACCTCAGGAGTTGATTGAGACATATAACACTTTTATCTGATGTCCTTGTCTCGAGAAATTGATATAAAACTGTGTCAAAATTATACCAAAACGTATACTTATGTATAATTTTGTATAAGATTCCTAGTAATAAGCAGATCATATTCAACAAATATGCAAACATTTGAAAACAACGATATTCCAGATGAGCCTGAGAAACTCTAGTTTGCTCATATTATTATGTGAATTTAATAGTTTTTCATTTTTAATAGATATAGTTATTAATATTATTTATGCGTCCGGAATATGTCACCAGAACTCCAACCAATGGCATGGCAGTATTATTGCCCCCATCTGTATCACGTGACCAGTATACTGCACTGCCATTGGAGGGAGTTCTTGTCACGTGATACCGACGTATATCTTACATATACATTTTGGTATAATTTTGACACAGTTTTATGTCAATTTCTCGAGACAGGAACATCAGATAGATGTCTTTTAGGTATCGTTCAACTCCTGAGATTCTTAGGTTTCAGCCTATACCCCCTTTTATTTTTCCTTTACAGACTTTTAACCTGCTTCGAAAATTAAGATATTGTCTTCTGTCTAGCGGTAATCCACACTTTGCTAGTTAAGTGAAACCCATTTGTAAATAATCAATTTTCAAGGTAAACCATAGATATTTGTTTCAATCAGGTTCTGCTGTGGATTGGATGTAACTTATGTATAAAGTCTCTTCAGAGAGCTTTTAAAATGGAATTAATGAGAAAAAAAAATAACTGCTTTTTAGTATCAGCTCATTAACTGAACTTTATTAAAGAAACAGCACTAACATGCCTGTTGATAAACGAAACGTTTAGCAAACCATTTCCTCATTTTAGACGCTCTAGATAGAAGTAAATTAAGTAGCAATCGATTCCTAATTTTAATCGAAGTCAGCCTATATTCCCTTTCATTTTTCGCGAACACTTCTTTTATTAAACAGATTAAAAAAAGTAGTATAGTGCCAAACCTTAATTTAGAATAGCTTATTATTATTTAAATCATTATCATTTTTACTAGAATTATTGTTATCATCAGAATATCTTGCAGAGAAAAAAAGAGTTCATTATTTTTATTATTGAAATTTTTATTATTCTTATCGTTTTTATCATTATCATTATTATGAGCATTACATTCATAGGTTTTATTATTTTGTAGAGAAATAGGAAGTTTGTATGACCAAAATCATCTGGATAATCATAAGAGTTCAATGTGTTCTCAGGTATAATGTTTAAACATGGGAAACAAATTAATAAATAAATATATATAAATTAATATGAATTTGATCATGTTAATATAAACTTATTAAAAACATTTTTTATCATATTTGAGGACTATATAGTTAGTCTTAATATGCATTAATCCAAAACTTACGTTCGGTCAATCGACCAGTAGTCCAATTGATATGACATTAAAAATGCGGAAAAATTAAAAACCGGTTTTTCAAAATACGAGGATCAAGCATTGATCTCGATTCAACCATTCTCCAAAATTTTCAGCTCTGATTTCCCAATTAAAAGTTCCCAGCTCTTAAATTCGAAACCACTTTACATGTTGTCTACTATCCCTTGAATACTATATCTTTTTCTAGATTGTGTTGGTTAGTGCTATAGCTGGAGATCTGATTCAGGTTTATATGTACACTGGTAGCGGGATCACAGATAAGGTATATACCATGGCCGTCGATGTTTTTTCCAAGGGGGGAGTGGGTAGGTGGTGTAATAATATTTTACAAGCCAAACTTTGTACTTACCCCTGGCAAAAAAATGTCCCCATGGAATTTTGGTAATTTTTATGTCAAAACCATGTCAAGGCCTATTTTTGCTGCATTTAAAAAAAAGCTAGTTTTCCGGAGAGGGACATCATTTTTTAACAGTGTAACTTTAATCTCCCTAAATGTAATGAAAGGTTTTAACAGTGAAACTTTAATCTCCCTAAATATACTGAAATGTTTTAACAGTATAACTTTAATCTTCCTAAATGTACTGAAATGTTTTAACAGTGTAACTTTAATCTCCCTAAATGTACTGAAATGTTTTAACAGTGTAACTTTAATCTCCCTAAATATACTGAAATGTTTTAACAGTATAACTTTAATCTTCCTAAATGTACTGAAATGTTTTAACAGTGTAACTTTAATCTCCCTAAATGTACTGAAATGTTATTAACATTGTAACTTTAATCTCCCTAAATGTACTGAAATGTTTTCTTTTCTTTCTAAACTGAAAGAGGAAACTTAATGATTTGTTTTATTTCAGTCGAGTAATCATTTTACACAGTTCTCCGGACTCTTGCTACGGACAGTTTAATAATATAGTTTTAATATGTATTCATGGTGATAGTTAATAGTTAAAAAAACATGGTTTTGAAATTAATCAATGTTTTTTCCTGTAGGCAGTATTATAGGTATGGAATTATTAAATTTTAAATGTTAAATAAAAATAAATGCAAAATAAGAATTAATTAACTAATTTGTTTGAATCATTATGTAATAAATACAGTAATATCTCTCATTTCTTTGCATCCTGTATATATATGTTTCGTTATAGTTCATTGACCGTATTATCGGTCAAGTTATTTTGACCTGTACCTTTAGACCTAAATATAGTTAGTTGTAAATAGAAAATAGTAAATACAGATGGTTGAATTAATCATTATATCGGTAGTGAAATAGAATCAGAGAGATTTCAGTGTGAGTTGCAGGATACTTGGAGAGACTCGGGCATTGCTACAATCAGAACCAGAAATTGTGTTTCCTAAAACTATTCCGAATTTCGTTCTGATTTCGATTTAAAAAACGAAACTTAACATTGAACCCTATCATGATTAGGGGGGGGGGGGGGCGTTTTCCACTCCTCCCTGTTGTTTTTCTAAATAGTTTAAAACGGCTTATATTAAGCCATTTTTTAAACTTCATAGCTGTGAACAAATTTTGCTTAACATTTTTTTGATGCGTAGGATAGGGTGGAGGACAGTAAAACGGTGGGTCGGTGTTTCAAAAAAGATCAGAAATGGTTGAAACCTTTTTATAAATCAAGCTACAGGGCTAAAATTTATATTTTGAAATGCCTTTGAAAAGTGGATAAATAAGGGGGTTAAAATTTATATATTTGAAATGATCTTGAAAAGTGGATAAATAAGGGGGTTAAAATTTATATATTTGAAATGATCTTGAACAGTGGATAAATAAGGGGGTTAAAATTTATATATTTGAAATGATCTTGAAAAGTGGATAAATAAGGGGGTTAAAATTTATATATTTGAAATGATCTTGAACAGTGGATAAATAAGGGGGTTAAAATTTATATATTTGAAATGCCCTTGAAAAATGGATTAAAGGGGGGTTGAAATGAATAAGGGGAGGGGAAAGGGAAATAAAGGAGATATAAAGGTATTATATAGGGAGGGGGAAGGGGTGGACATATTTGACATCTGATAAATGTTTGTACAGCAGTTTACAGTATATACCACACTGAAGTAAATAAAGACATATTTATCTATTTCTCAAAAATCCAATAAAAATACCAAGAATTTTGAAATAAATAAACCAGCAATTTCTTGGAAAAATAAATATCAATATTTCAGAATACCAAGTAAATAATCCTGACGCTGAAAAAGTTTTGTCTATGCATGATAAAATAAAACAGAAAATTTATATTAATAATAAATTCATGGATTAAACTATTTATTACTGATTATTAATTCCTCCATGAGGGATGTCCATGGTAGCTCAGAATTGCAATGTTTAGTTCTAAACACAGAACAGAGATTAGAATAGAAGGGAAATTAGAACATCCACACTCCTCTGCCGCTTTAGTAATTGTAAATTGGCGGTACAGTCCAAAGTATGACTTCAAAGGTTGGCCCAGCTCGGAAATTCAAATGTACACCGGTGGGCGTGCATCCCCCCATGAATTTGTTCAGCCCCTTTGAGCCTTAAAAGGAGTTCAACGTATAAAATATCCGTTACAATTTCTTATTTGTATCAAGGTTACGCTGAAATGAACTCGGGAATGTAAAGTAAAACCTGGTGAAATGAACTCGGGAATATTAGGTAAAGCTTGGTGAAATGAACTCGAGAATGTAAAGTAAAACTCGCTGAAATGAACTCGGGAATGTAAAGTAAAGCTTGGTGAAATGAACTCGGGAATGTAAAGTAACCTTGGTGAAATGAACTCGGGAATGTAAAGTAACCTTGGTGAAATGAACTCGGGAATGTTAGGTAAAACTTGGTGAAATAACTCGGGAATGTAAGGTAAAACTTGGTGAAATGAACTCAGGAATGTAAAGTAAAACTTGCTGAAATAAACTCAGGAATATAAAGTAAGGCTTAGTGAAATGAACTCGGGAATGAAAAGTTAAACTTGGTGAAATGAACTCGGGAATGTAAAGTAAAACTTGGTGAAATGAACTCAAGAATGTAAAGTAAAACTTGCTGAAATGAACTCGGGTTATTCTGGTTTTCTACCACTCCTGGTTCTATTCTATGAAGAACTCAATCAGCTTGTAGCCGACGCTGATATTTGATCAGTAAATTTAGAGAATTTATATTCTCTTATACGGAGTATTCTGGTTTATACCACTCCTGGTTCTATTCTATGAAGAACTCAATCAGCTTGTAGCCGACGCTGATATTTGATCAGTAAATTTAAAGAATTTATATTCTCTTATACGGAGTATTCTGGTTTATACCACTCCTGGTTCTATTCTATGAAGAACTTAATCAGCGTGATGCTGTACTCTGATCATCGATCAGGAAATTATCAATCAAATTGATTAATGAATCGATTACTCGATTAATAAATCAACCATTTAGTTGATAAATCAATCATTATATTTGTGAATCAATCATTCTATTAGTGAATCATTCAATTAGTGAATCAATCATTCAATTAGTGAATCAATTATTCAATTAGTGAATCAATCATGTAATTAGTGAATCAATCATTCAATTAGTGAATCAAT